AACAATGGTCGTGATGAACAGAAATGAAACCTTTCACATGATTTCGGATACTCTTCTGCCATTAATTTATTTTATCTCAGTTTATATAAAATTAAAAAAAACTTCGCATAGGCTCGCTACTTTCTTTCGTTTTCTTCTAGGCTGACTTGCTAATTTCTGTGAAGACAAGGTTTTCATTGGTCCCAAAACAATTTCACATAGGCTCGCGAATTACTTTCCTTCTTTTTCCTCAGTCCTCCGAATTAGAAGGGAGTAGGTGAGAGAAATTATTTAGCACTCACTACAAATGCAATATCAATTGTTATCTTCTGTCATCTTAATTCTTGTTCTTTTATCGTCTTCTCTTCTTAATAGTACATTTTTATCCTATTCTATAACACTCAGTAATCCCCTCCTTGCATCTTATTAACTTTATTGCCTTGATTGAGGTGAAGATTTTAAAAAAATCAACCCCTGACTCTTTATAGAGCTCAGAACATGGCAGTTTGCTTATAAATATCAAGTTTGAAACTGAGCCTACGTCATTAATATCTGCGTACGAAAACAAATTTAAAGAGCAAACGGATATGTTTTTATGTTTTTTAAGAAAACATTTTAAACAAGTGAATCAGTATATTTACGTAGTTCACATTTTTAATTTACTGTTCCATATTCTCTTACTCTTGTTGGTCTTACAGTTTATTCTTGTTAAATTGTTATTACTTAAAGTTCCATATTACACTTTAATACTGATCTAAGTGAGAGAAAATGATTTTTTATTCATGCCATTTAAAAATCTACAAGAGAACATACAACCCATATACATTTTTTGTTATTTAATTTCAATATAGGTCTCAGCACTAGAAAGTGATCATATTTCTTTATATGGCCTACTTAAAAACCCGTTCGCGAAAAACAAAGAATGACCTCATTATGCTTAAAGTCAGATTCAGTCAGTTATGTGCCATGCGTGATACTCGCTTAGGCTAACATGTATCTTTCGATACTTGACTGATTAAAAAAATATTAGATATGTTCAATTTTTGTGTAGAAAAATTTGATAACCAGTTAAAAAGAAAAATAACCTATGAATCATGTAGTTTTTATTTTAAGGTCGTTTTTTTTTTCTACTTATCTATAGTACAGGCTTGTGGAAAACATGTAATAAATAGAAGTAAATTTTGGAGTAATGGATAGCGGCTCGGATTGAGGAATCGGAGAGCCGAGTTCGAATTCCAGTCGAATCCATTATATGCATTTACGTGCTAATACCCTTGTAAAAGGTATTAATCCTCTTCTTCTGCCTCCTGCTATGGGTGAAGAGCAGGACATACCGGGTTTTATAGAAAAGAAAGAAATGGCAATCTACTGCAGGAAAAAAATTGCCTCGTCAGTCATGTATCGAAAGATACATGATCGCCTAAGCGAGTATCACGCATGGCACATAACTGACTGACTGAATAAATATTATTTCTCGATTTTAAGTAGAATCTGAAATATTTGCATTTAATTTTGTGTGTTTGTGTGTGTTGTAGAGGGAATGTGTATCTATAAGTTTGTGATTTTATGATGTTGAGAGCTATCGATGAAATTTTCAGGAATAAATTTGAACACGTGGAGAAAAATCTTATGTATATTTATGTAACGAATAACATGATTCAGAAAATAGAAAATACACTAAGTTTGAACTGAACATAATTTTAAAAAACAAAACAAACAGAAAAAACTTTTTTAGTTGGCAGTGTGTGTGTGTGTGTGTGTGTGAAATCAAGGAGGAGACTTCCGGTGTCAAGAAATTTTTACCAGTGGCGGACTGGTCAGGGCGTCAGCATGCACATTGATGGAGTGGGTTACCTAGGTACTTCCACCGATTCGCTAAAATAATGAGCATGCCATGATGAAAAAATGCCCTACACCAGCGAACAAACATTTTGTCAACGCTCCCCTGTCAAATTAAATTTCGGATATGAAACTGAATTCATCTTTCATAGCAAGATAACGCTTAGGTATTAGTGCAAAATAATGTTAATACTGTTTTCACTTCTATTAGAAATGACAATGATTAAAATCCTAAAAAAAAAACTTTTATTTGAGAGCTTATCTCAATGTTTTCAATGCGATGGTTGACTTTAATGCTTACTGGCTAAGGCTCTTACTCTAGGTTCCATACTTCTTGGAAGTAATCATAAATCACATTGTTTTGTAATTTGCAGGCGGTTTCTTTGTTTAGTAAGAAGCTATATAACTGCGTTGAAACCACATTCAGCCATATAAGTTGGAATAGCAATAAAGAAAAGTTTGATAGCTTTCCACAGCACTTTTAGAAATTTCCTTTTGTAGCCAATATTGAATAATTTTTGAAAATCTGAAAAAAATGGATACATGCTCACTGAGTATGTTCACCGCCCCACAAATGAAATAAAAAATCTCCCAGTGCCCCCTTTCAACATAACAGAGCCTACAAGGGGGCGCTATCGGCCACTTTGGGAAACACTGCCCTAAACTAAACAAAAACGTTTTACCGTCAAAATCTTTGTTATTAAGAAGAAAGACTAAAGAATTTGTTGATTATTAAATTATATTTCCTTTTTAGAACGTTCCAAATTTTGGTTAAAAATCTTGTTTTTATTGCGCCTGCAGTTTCACCAAAAATTAGTATAAGAAATTTTAACGTCTTTTTTTACGGTGAAAAACACCGATTTGGAAATTCTTGGAAAAATCAAGTAATTGTTTGATTTTAATGAAACTTTCAAGACTTATTCACAAATGAATGAAATTATATTATAAACTTTTTTTTCTTTAGAAAATCTTGGTAAAATATTTTTTTTACATCTGTTACCCCCATTTATTTGATATGAAATTTCGAAAAATTAATTTTTGTATCACTAATATTTATATTAACTATACGCAGAACTCTTTGGAGAATTTAAATCATTAACTTTTTTTCTGTACAACAATTTCCAAAAATCTGCTCTGAACCGTAAAATAATAAAGGCAATAAGGCTAAACATCATTTAATTAGAAAATCTTTTAAATACTTTTACATATTATGGACACTATTGTCTTACGAAAAAAAATCGATGAATAATGAATTATTATTTACAAGAATTTTAAAAAAATATTATTTAGAATAATTTATAAAGTTTTAAATCTTTTAAATTTCTGTATTAATTTGTACCGGTTAGGTGATATTGTTATGAAGTAAAAACTATATTTACTAATCATAAATGGAGAACCTTACTACAATCCATCAAACACTAATATTTGAAAAAGAATTTTGAATTTTTTGTTTCTGCATATAAACTTGCCGATTTGTGTAAATACGAGCGTCCATATACGACATTATCAGAAAATAAGGGTGATAACCATAGTAAATTTAGAGTCAAAGTACCTAAAATTCAATAAAACTTTCGATTACGGTGAATATCTCTATAATTTTTGAAGATTATGGAGTAGTTAAAAATTATATAAAAAGGCGCTCACGTTATATTCCTCAAGTAATTTTTATAGATATGTCCATCGTAGAAAAAATTAATGACTTAACCTTTTTGAAATTCCTCTCAAATCTGTGTTCAATACATTTAACTTCACTTCGGTTTCTCATATTGAAAATCATTTCACAGACGAACTTAAAAATAAGTTTAGTGATGTTTTTCAAAATAGACCTGGGTGCTGTACAAAAATTAAATATACTCTGAAATTAAAACCAGATCTAAGCCAATTTTTAGACAAAAAAAAAACAAAAAAACTATGTTACTCTGTATATGGTTGAAAAAGAACTGCAACGTCTTCAGCAAGAAGGTGTAATAGAGCCTGTTAACTACTCCATGTGGGCAGCTCCTATTGTAGTTGTTAAAAATAACAGTCCGGACATATGCTGATTACTCGACCGGTTTGAATGATTTTTTGGATGCACATCAGTTTCCACTTCCAGTGCTGGAGGATCTTTTCGCAAATAATCAACGGTGGAATTTGCTTTGCATAGGTTGATCTCTCCGATACTTTTCTTCAAATGAAAGTTGACAAGGAATCCAAAAAAGCTCCTTACTATCAACGAAGTGATTATTCAGATTTAACCGTCTTAAATTCGGTTTCAAACCAACACCAGCCATTTTCCAACAGACAATGGACGTCGTGCTGACCAGATTAACAGGAATTGCAGCATTCATCGATGACATCATCCTGGCAGGAAAAAATCAAGATTCACTTTTGCAACGTTTATTTTCTGTTTTCAGCCGAATTCAACAATACGGATTCTGAGTTAAAGCTGAAAAGTGATTTTTTTCGAGAACAAATCACATATCTTGGGTTTATTTTCGCCGCAAAAGTCAGCCCAACCGGAGTGCAGTGGAAATAATTTGATGTGAATTTTAGTAAATATAAATTCTATTTATTTTGGGGTGAATTAACAGAAACTATCCAAAATAGCGATAGCGCAGACAGAGGCTTACGGCATTTCAGCACTTCTCATTTTTTGTCGAGTTGCCATTGCCATATTGCGTCATCGGAGTAAAATTGCATGACAGTTGTTTGCAATTTAGAAGTATCAATTTAAAAAAAAATATGAATAAAATATAAAAAACAACAAACAAAAATTACTTAAATGTAGCTGTTTACATAACTGGTAACGCCATTATTGGGTGTGTGAATTGTTAAATAAATACGTCAAAGCTATCCTTAATTCTCCCGTAACAGAACAAATTCTGGCGACTGGGAAATCCTGACTGTTAGACTGAAATCTTGCGCAATGGTAAGGGTGGGGAGCAACACATAACTTCATGAAATAATATTTGCCAGTACTTAAAAAACTGGCATGAGCTGTGCGTTCTAAATTTTAAATTGCCTGTGAAGATCCTTTCTTCACCCTACCGCACTGACGCAATGCATGTTGGTAGAGTTGGATGTGACACGTTTGGGTGTGTCTCGTTTCAATTCATGATCGCCCAAGGATATTTAGGTAATTGAATGTTCGATTTATCACCCCGAGCCATTATCCATTATACAACTCGCACATTCAACTTTACAGTGCCTGGTATTTTCAAGCGGTCACTCATGTCATTACTCACCAGGCTCGACGTTTCTTAACTTCAGTGATCGGAAGAGAACCGGTATTTCAACATGATATGGCCATAAGCGAGCTATTTATTCATCTGAAATTATTTTCTTGAAGCAAACATCATCTGGAAAGACGTGAGCTTAGAAGATATCCATTGCTCGGACAAATAGTAGATTTATAAATACAACCATAACCTTAGCCAATTTGCTAAAACTAAAATTTATAGATTTTTTTAACGGCATATCAACTCCTTATGGGACACTCACACATCCAAGTTTACAGTGCCTGTTATTTCCAAGCGGGCACTCATGTCGGTACTGACCAGGCTCGCCTTTTCTTAACTTCGGTGATCGGACTAGAACCGGGTTTCAACGTGATATGGCCATTTATTCATCTGAAATTATTTTCTTGAAGCTGATTCAAATGTCAGGTAGGTATTCGAAAGCGGATTGTGTTGCTGTATATTTGCTGATGTCGCAAATAAATATTCTTTTCGTCACAAGTGAAATTGAAAAGTTTCTTTTAATCGTATTTTTTCCAAGAATGCAAACATCGTCTGGAAATGGGTGTGGTTGTTAGATTCTAAAATACAACCATAACAGTAGCCAATTTATTAAAACTAAAATTTATCTAGTAGAAAGTTCCCAGTGTACAAATTGTTATATCTAAAATATGAAAAATAGAACTTTTCCAAGTGCTTAGAAGCAAACTAAGATGGTTGTTTGGTTGATTTGTTTATATATCAACTCCTTAAGGGACATTAATGCCAAATTTTCATTTTGGGGAGCTTTGAAGTAATAAAAATATGTTATTCTTCTTTCACAACTGAATACATGGTAGATGATACTCAGCTTTTGTGCATGTACATATTGGTGTGAACATAATTACTAGAGGTGATGATATTTGTGTTTTATGTTTTGGAAATTATATTTTGGAATAGAGTTTGATTTCTGTAGTATTATATGCAAATGAGAATGACAAGCATAAATAAAGAGCTACTGGTGGACAAGACAGCGTTACTCAGCGAACCCGTTTTGTTGTCGCTGTCGTCCTTTATGTTTTGGTATTGGAGCTCCTCCTTCGCCGGTTGAGGGACAGGCGTGCAGTCCGGTCCTATACGGAATCGCTGTTTTCCCTGGTAGAGCTCGAGCTAGGGTTTCTGCGTACACCGATGATGTATTCATTTTCGTGTCGAGCCGTCGCGATATTAAGATGATACAGAAGGCGCTTGAACGGTACGAGAAGGTGACAGGGACCAAGATTAACCGAAACAAGTCTTCCGGCTTGCGGTTAGGTGCCTAGAAGGGATTCACGCTTCCGGGGCTCTTTGGTTGGACTGATGGATCCGTCCGCATTCTTGGAGTGTGGTTTGGGCCCAGACTCAACAATTAAGAGCTTTTTCCAGGCTCCTCAAAACCTTCAATCTTCCGATCAGCTGCCGGATGTAGTTTATCGTTATACACACAACTAAGTAACAGGAAAAAGCAATTACATTCTTAATGTCTCAATGAAGTATTTATTTGGTTTGTCACAGCAAAGTGTATTACATAAATGGACACGAGCATGTCAACTGTTGATTGGTACATTGATAATAATTTGAAAAATATCAGGATCTAGCTAGGGAGCTGAAGTAGATATTGAACATGACTGTTGAAATAATTCCTGTAGCAACGGGTGCGTTTGGAACACCACTAGAAACTTGAAAAAGCGCTTTAAGAAATTTGGAAGTGAGACAATGAGTGTAGACATTCTGACAACAGCCATTCTTTATTAATAATAAAGAATGGCTGATGTCAGAATGTCTAATTTGTTTGAAAATAAATTATTATTTTGAAACAAATTTGATAGAATTGGCTTGAAATTTCAAGACACTGCAAGAGATTTTCCTCAACGCCGACTTTAGCTGATTTTTTGGTATGTTTTATAAATTGTATTTTCATGTGTAAATCAGTTGATTTGTACAATGTTAGACATTTTTAACAGATGAAAAGACGAACAAATATGAGGGTAATTAATTAATAGATTTATAAACAACAACAACATATTCAAGAAGAAAAAGAGGCGGTTATGGAGCTTGAGTTAAGGAGCCAAACATGTCTTAAAAGGAAGTCCTCTTAACTTGATTCAAGATGTTAATTTTACGTCAACAAACGCCGCCTCCGTTTTCGAATACACGTGTTCCTTAGACGTTATTTACTACCCCCCCCACCATCACCACAATGGTAGATGTAGCACAAGGCTGCCACGTGTTCCTTAGACAGCTTCGGTCAGCAAAAGAGTCTGAATTTAAGATTGGGGTTTTTTGCTGGCCTCTGATTGGCTGGTAGTATGTGCGGGTGTAAAGTAGTTCACATCATAATGTTTAATAAAATAGATGTAAGGAATTACCTGGTCATGTTTCAAATTTATCAGAATTGTTCCGGGTCGCATCAGTCTTCTTTTTTTATTTTTATATTAAGAAATTTACACATTAGATGTGGCAATGAATTTAAAATTCTCGATACGGGCGATCACACTATTTAAGAATATTTCTTGCTTTTATAGGTGATCATCGGCTCCGAAGCGCTGCGCGGTAAGAATCATTCTTCGCGTGCAGACAATCTGATTAGTTGGCATTGACCAATCAGCGAGCGAGCCTTGGGGAGACTCACGAAAGCTTCTGGGATCCGATTCTCCCAAAAGTGCACGAAATCGACTACATGAAAATATAGCGATTATAAAATTGTCGCATAGCTGCTATTTTTAAATTGTCCATTACACAGTAGTGTTGATTTATTATCCAATGAATGCTTGTTGTTGTATAATTTGAATTTGTGTATGTATGTAGTGTGTGATGATCATCATCACAAACCCATTTTAGAAGCACTGTGAACCCTGAAGGAAGTGGTTATTGTCCAGAGACGTTAGGCATTGTTATTTTATCAGGATAATAAGATGATTTCACTCTTTCAATTTTGATTGGATCAAAATAGCATTTGTTTATCTTTTTTTTTTTTTTACTTATATATCTACATTTCTAGGCGTATTTTAAATATTTAAATGCAATTGCAATATGGCGTCCAAAACCTGCAAGGCAAAGTCCGGCTGCTTCTGTGATTTAAACCTAGTGAACTCACTTGGCTGTTTCCCGACACAGTGTAACTTTTGGTGATTGACGCTGATATAATGCAACAAAATAAATATGACATTAACATCGTTGCATTAGCATTAACAGTTTCATTTACCAGAGGAATGTTAATATAGGGGACGCTACCAGGACGCTGAAACGTGACACTAGGGAACAAAAAGGTTAAGACATGATGCAGTAGCGTGCAGAAGTGGGGGAGGCAGTGGGTGCAACGGCTCCGGACATCTATATCGAAAAGGCATCCAATCAAAGAGTGAAATAAATGTTTAGTTTATATTTAATTTAAATGTGTTGATTTCATGTTTCATCTGTTTTTACATACTTAAAATGTCTTCCTTTCTCATATTTCTCAGTACTTGGCCCTATAGCTGCTACTTGAGTCTTAGGAAACTACAATCAAAGATTTGGCTCCGGCCATCACCAAAGCTCTGCACATCACTAGCCTACTGCAAATCCATTTCAGCATGCAGCTCCATTCACTGAAAGCAAACTGCTCTAACTACTAAATATGAAGGATGCCTTGAATAAATCGTAAGTTCACGCCATAAATTTTTGATTGGATTCAGATACAAACTCATGACAGGCCAAGTTGAAATGTTGATTCTGTTGCCTTGTTTTTTGTTAATACATTTGTGCGTATTTACGATTATGATGTTGGAAAACAAAACCACATCTTCTCCATAGGCCACACTACTTGAGTCTTAGGGGCATACAAACATTGGCCCCGGTCATCGCCAAACCTCTGCACGTCACTGTTATGATGATTTTTTTTAATTTAGTGGGAAAAAAAAGAAGTGTTCTTGCCAAAATTGAATTATAGATATTTAATCCGTTTAGTTTGTCACAATGTCTTAAATTTGTGATACGCATGTTTGAGACCTCTGACTTAAGCCATACCATATAAAGACGGCATATTTTGTTAAATCCTTACTATTATCAGAAAAATACTTACCTGGCACATGTCGGGTAGGATTTATCATCTCTCAGTTGCGTCTCCGTCATCGGGGACAGTGCGACTAATTTGTGGCTCTGTCCGCGGACAGAGACACAGCTGAGGAAAATAAATAATTAGAGGTGCCCGGTCCCAGGGAACAGCTGCCGAGGCTGCAACCCCAATTGTACTAAAGAGGGAGGGAGAATCGGTACTTATACCGATGCCAGCGCAACCGACGGTTACGGGGGCTGAGCAATTTTTGTCCTTGGCCCGGGTGTACGCGCTCCGGTTACACACGTTAAACCCGACTTTGCGTCACATCCCATCTCAGTGGGGAGACCAGGGTAAATACCTACTGTAATGACAAAAGTACGCAGGTGTAGGTTTTAAGAAAGCTTTATTCAACTGAGAATACAAGGTTCGCGTATAGTGTCCTTTTATAGTCTCAGTAAACAGAAATATCTCTCTCAAAGAGGAGAGTAACAAAACAAGGGGAGACCACTCTTGATTATTCATAACACCTACTATTATCAGAAACTATTCACATCAGTGTGAGGTAATGGTTAGCTGGTTTAGTTGGCTGTTACTACTGAGTAGTGTGATTGATTCTCACTGGGTGGATCATATGAAAATTCGATATCAAATAACCCATAAAGGGTCGATATGTGAGTCTTTAAATTAATTTATTATAACTGTACTCTGCTATTTCCCATAGGCAGTATTTTCTCCTTCCTACCTACGTAAATATTTTCTAACAGTCCGGCATTGTCATAAAAAGACATTGTCGCCTTTTCAAGGCAATAACTCACGTACAGCAAAAAATAATCAATATATATATATATATATATATATATATATATATATATATATATATATATGTGTGTGTGTGTGTGTGTGTGTGTGTGTGTGTGTGTGTGTGTGTAGAATTATACAAGCAAAAAAGTTTATCACTTAGCTGATTGATGTTACCTTCAGCATCCTGACCCCAGACTTTTGTACACGGACCCTCCGGAAATTACTCCGTCCCCTCGCCAGGGGTATTAGCAATTGACTGCTTATACTTCTCGATTTTTATTTTTTAGATCCTGTATTATATATATATATATATATATATATATATATATATATATATATTAATGTATATTTGCCCAGCTACATCTTTCGTTAACTACGACAGACGAGGGAGATTTAATTAATTTTTTTTTATTTTTTTCCAGCATCCTTACGTTTTCCGGAAAAAATACTTGCTGCCTTAATATAGCCTATACAGTCATGTATCTATTCATGTACAGCTATTTCGTTTTATTTTTTTTACATTATTTACATCATACGGTCTTCTTCAGGTGATAATCCAAAGGCGTCTACGCGAACTTGTAGGTGATGAATTGTTTTCCACCTTACAACCTCTTTCCACTCAACGAAATGTTGCAAAATCTTTCATTACTCTACCACTATATCCATGGAAAATATTCAACAAGCTACATTCCTTACTTCCCCCAACTCTAGCCCTCCCAGCTAAGACTCGCCAAGCTGCATACATTGAGGCGAACCACCATCATTCCTTTGGTATTCCTTTAGTAAGGAGTAAGTTCCACTCGGATAGCTTCTTCCCAAGAACTGTTGCTTTGTGAAACAGAATCAAAAGGATGATGCTTTCCTGACCACTACAATCTTAACCTCTTCAAGTTTATGGTTAGCCGTTATCGATCCCACATAACAGCATAAACTGTGCCCCTTATTCTTAACGCTCAAGCAAAAACCGTCTAATCCTCTAACTTTAGTGACTCTTGGGCCTTTTATAGGGTGAACATAAGTAAAAAAAAACAAAGATGAAGAGAAAACTAGAAGCAACAAAAATATGGCCTATACAGAAGGATACCAAGAATACTATGGACGGAGCGAGTAAGCAACGACAAAATCTCAAGGAAAATGGAAACAAAAAGGACACTTATACTTAGAATCAGAAAGAGACAGCCGAACTTTCTTGAACACATAATGAGAAAGTAGTGTTCGGAGAATTTGATACTCACAAGGCATATCGAGGGCAAGTGGGACAGTGAAGGCAGCGAACCACCTAACTGATCAGTTTGTATGAATTGATGGCGGAACAGGGAACAAGAGACTTGGTAAAGAGACAAACGTCGCTAAGGACTATTAATTTGTATATTTAATTTTGAATTTTACTGACAGTCTACAAGCAGAACTTTTATTGGCAAGACTAATATTATTTTCTGTGTTCATTGTCATTCTTTAACGAATTGTTCAGTCAGCTGGGTGAGTCAGCGAGCAAGAAAATATTCTTACATGATCAGAAAGAATTGTGAAGAGCCATGCCATGATCGTACATGTCCTGCATACATTGAGGTAGATAGAAGAAGAAAAAAGAAAAAATCCTGCTGTAAACATTTTTTGTTTTGATTTTATTAAATAAAAAAATTACTTTTATTTTTGCTTTTACTTATTTTGTAGAATGAGACCCAAAGATTTTTCTGCATTTTTAAGATTTACAGAAAAGTTTTAAAAGCTAGTGTTTCGGGGAAAAAGAAAATGAACTTTTCTTATTTTGAGAATTAATGACAGTAATGATTTAAGACAAATGAAACAGCTTAGCTCAGTTGCCTTGCCAAGAGGACAAATTTAGTTAACTGTCAAAAAAAAAAAAAAAAATAAAATAAATAAATAAATAAATAAAATAAAAAATAATAAAAAAACGCCCAAAATTTCTATATCCTATCTTTATGTCGTTAGCATAAAGAAAAATTTTGGGAAAATATTTTGTACATCTCAGAGAATTAGAGAAAATTGTCACTCATGACTAACTGACCCCTCATAAAAAATATTTCTATATGAGAAAGCTTTCTAATAAAATAGCCTCAGTATACAATTCTGTATTTATTCGTTAATAAATAAGTACTAAAAATCTAGTTCGCTGATTTTTTGCATTTAAAAAGAAGTGATTTTTGCTTTCATTTCACATTTGATGGAACACACACACACACACACACACACACACACACACACACACACACACACACACACACACACACACAGAAAGAGAGAGAAAAAAAGAGAGGGCGATTCTTTACCACGTATTTTCCCAAAAAATAAATAAAATTCCTACAAAAACAACGAAATGTAACCCCACTCATCAATCAGCTTCTTTCTTTGGATTTTCTATTTTTTCTTCAATGAAAATTGAGAGAGGGAAAGTCTCTTACTGCGTATTTCCCCACTAAAAAAAATTCCTAGTATTGTCCACTATCGTTATCGCTTTTAGACACAACCCACTCCTCTTTTCTTGTCAAAACTCAAAATATGATTGGAGACTGTGTACCTAACACGGATCTTCTTAGCTTATAAACCTAGTATTAAACAACACTTAACATTCGCTCGCTGCTCGCTTGCAGCAGATAAACAAACTCTTCTTTGCTTATGAGTTTGAGGCAAAAATGAGACAGAAAAATTGTAACCAGGTTTATGACCACCTTTTCCAGTCTGGCCAGGTGTCCTTTGTGATTTTTATTTTGTGTTTGAGTTTTTGCAATTGTACGACTCAACCCCCCACCGAAACCCCTGAACTGCTTTCCGCTACTAAAACCATATGTCATCATTTGCTACCCGGTCTGCACAAATTACGGCGTGGTGTCGATATTACAAAACTTGACTTGCTTCCCTTGAAAGTTAACAGCGATGATGGCTTCAAGTATCCAGTTATTGACTTCAACTGCGCAGACGGTAAAACTCAGTATATTGGTGAGGTAAGAATAAACATTTTTCTCATTTTTTTTTCTTTGTTCATTCATCAATATATTTTAGGAAGATTCTCTCTTGAGTTTATACCAGCACTGGTATTTAGTCATAATCAGGATTCTTCTTCTATGTGCCGTGTCCCTTCAAGACGTTGGCGATCATGGCTTCCCACAATTTGCTCTCCTTTGTAGCGCTTAGTAAATTTTATCTTTTTGTTATCTCTCCTAAACCCTGCTCTGCCATCCATTTACATAATCTCGTTAAGTAGGTTATGCGTTGTTTTGTTCTGTTCCTCTGTCGGAGTTAGCTCCTCCTCAGCTCCTTAACCCATCACCAGGGGTCTCTCTCCCCTGGCTATAAATACTGGCTGACCATTCGCCTCGATCTCTTTTTCCTCAGGCCTTCTGCCTTATACCACCTCGCAGATGTGAGCTCTCACAGATACAGCGTTTCCCAAATTCTGGGAACACGTTAAGAACAATACACGTACGTACGAACACTCACCACAACACACACACATAATATTCACCACACGCACTCAATGTAACTGTCCATGTGCTTGTAACTTGTACTTGTTGTTAATACATATATTTGTTTGCCTATAATTATCGGTCTTGTTTGTTTTCTTTGGACTTAATTAAAGTCTAACTTTCTCATGTAGTTGGACCGGCTAGCAGGAAATTTTAACTCACGTGTATTCTTCTATATACTCATTACCCCAACGGTCCTCTACACCTCTTCTTGCAATATGTCCAGTGAATGTCAAATTTTCCAAGCTCTCTTTCCTTATTACGTTGTTGGGGATGCGCAGAATGAACTAAGATTTTTTGCTATGGTGTTAGAATATATCAGAGGGAATTTTTGTCTGGTTGCGTGATCTTCTCTTGCATCCATAACAATAAATAATACTTAATAATATAAAACAAGGCAAAACATGTATGCAATTCAAACAAACAAATGCATTTATATACAATACAAATATTATATACAAAATATTATTACAAGATATTATTGTGTTGTTATGTTTGTTAGTGGATGAAGATTTTTTTTTTTTTGGTGTCTTGGTGTATTTGTATTACAGTCTTTATAGAATTCGTAATTAGTGTTTAAACACCGATATTATGTTCGTGTTGTTCTTTTTGTATTGTTTAGAATTGAGTCATTCAGAAATAGTCTACCCTTAACTGTAAGTATGAAATTGAAATATGTTCAATAATAGTATTTACTTAAATTGTAGTGAGCGTTAATAATTCACTTTGGATAAGTAAAATCTTGCAAGTTGAAGTTCTTTGTATTCACAGAGTAATCTTCGAGTCGAGTTTGCGGGTGAGTCAGTTGTAGTTTTTTTTCGCGCGGGAAAATTATAATCGCAAGTTACGTGGATTAGATTAGCGCTTCTCTGTGTTTGCTGGACTGACTGATTTGGTCAGTTGGAAATCTTCCTTATATAAGGTTTTAGATGTCATTCTCTGCCATATACGAAGACTGATATTACGTAACAGTTCGGTACTGTTTTCTTTGGTTTTAACGAAATTTTCCTGCTTCTTAATACTTTGCTTAGGTTTTAGAATGCATCTTTCTCATGTAAGAGTTTTTAATAGAGTAAATAAAAATCCGATAATTTTGATAAAATTTAAAGGCTTTACTACTGTTTTTAAAAACACTATTCACCTTTCCTTGGTCATCGACGCACTCTGTAACAGATCTAATGACGATTTTCCCCAAGGGGAAAAAGCAGGTTTAAATCCTACCGGAGATTTTTAAAAATATTTTTCTAGGTTTGTTATCTAGGAATTAATTTTATTCAATTTTTTGTGTGTAAAAAAAAGAAAAAAAAAACTGAATTGAATCACTACTGCTTTTCTTAAACGGGCGCAGTAAACTGTAAATCAAGCCAAATTAACATCGCAATTTATTTACATGTTTACTGAAAATTGTCTTACCTTGCTCGAATTCCGACCTTTTTGACAGGTAGGATATACGCAACTATCTTAACAACGAGAGAGACAACCCAATGGATTCATTATCATGAAATTACTACACTAATAATTTTGTTAATGCAATTTCATTATAGAAATTTCGCCTTTTTTTTACTTCTTAAATTGTCTTTTACACTGTAAGAAAATAAAGGCTTGACTCTTCTATAAACTTGTAATTTTCAGTTTCCTTTGACTTTCCGTCATCATTTTGTTTTTTAACCTCTTTCCTTTAGTAACGCTGTTGCCCAAGTTCTCCACCAATTAGAAACGCAACGAGGCTTTTAATCACAATATTGTATACAGAATCAAACAGTATAGAGTGTAATAAATTTGACCATAAATTTCTTCTTTTTTTTTAATTAAAAAATTACACGTCATCTACTCTTTCAGTAGCGTTTTCTAGCGAGGTTGCGAAATCTTTTCCTAGATGACACTTGATACTCGTTCATTGGACTTGCGTAAGAGATAGTATGCAGAGGCTATAAATTTCTTATTCTTTTTTTTATTACTAAAAAAGTTTTCTGTTTGTTATTTTATTGCATTTTTATTTGATGGGGTGCACTTGCCATCGGGTAAGCTGAAACCCTGGCCAGTCCGCCATTTGAACTAAGTGTGCTTTTGAGACATTCCGAAGATCTGCTTTCGACTTTAAAGTCTGTATCTCACAATACGGCCCTTTGAACGGATTATGGCACAAGTCTGTGTTTAAAATAAGAATCCTATAAGGATGAATCATTCCGATTCACTTCATATTTCATTAGTAAGACGTTCCACCCAAAAAGTTTATTCCCAAAAAGTACTATTTTTTATAGAACACTCTTGGCAGGATGTCTGTCCAATCACTACAATCTTGACCTCTTCGAGTCTAGGATTAAACAGTTAACTTTCCTGCATAACTACATGAACTTTGCTCAGTAATCCTCTACCTTGAGTGACTCTTGGGCCTTGTATTGGGTGAACATTAGTATTAAAAAAAAAAAGTACATGGGATTGGTGACAAAGATTTCTCAGCTTCATTGACACTTTCCCATTGGGATACCTTAATCATTAAGAAGTGATACTGCCTAGGTGAATGGCCTCCGGTCTGCGTGCAAAGTGAAATCTAGCCGTTAACCTAATGGCACCTAAGCAGTTCCTGATGCTTTGTACAATCAGAGGTTTTAAGGCTAAGTATTTATACTGGGATGCTCACGTTTGGTTTCCTCCTATTACACTCGGGACGACTAATAGATTATCCGGTCGATTCAGTTCGTTGTCTTCATGGGGGCGGCCTGTTCACTTGTAGTCTGCAATGTTTCCTGTTGATTTTATGTTTTCCGATTTTTGTAAGCGGCAAACTGATGTGCGTACGAAGTGGGACTGGCTTGTCGAGTTCAAAGTTCAGCCGAGGCCGTTGTATTTGCTTTCGGTCCAATACAATTTGCAAAGTATAAATCCATCTTCACTTCGTCACATCTACGGAATTAATAGCAGGGTACACTAGGTTCTCTGTGAAAAGAAAAACTTAAATTCAAAACAATAGGGATGTGCTGCGTTGGGTCATCTTAACTTAGACACATCATTTGGCTATATTGCTCTACGTCCAGAATTGGTGGCGCACATTGAATAACCTTAGAACATTAGTTCCTTAATTCAAAGACATCTTGGCTTTATTCACTTTTTTTTCTTTAATCGGTTTCACCCCATGCAAGGCAGTAAAGTCACTAAGGCACAAGGTGCTACAGAAAGAAATTAGGAACAGAAACATTACTAATGAACGGGAGGAGAAATGAGTAATCAGGAAGACAGTAGATAGCAATTGACATTGCATTTAAATTTTTTGCAGGTTAAAGTTGGCTGAAAAGCATAGAACTGGAAGGGAGTTCCACAAGCGAGAAGTACGAGAAAAGAAACTGCTAGCATAGAATTTATGGCTACATCTAGCCAGCTCAACTGTCAAATTGATGAAATCTTGATGCCAGTCTAGTACTGTGTTTAAATTGAAAAAATCTAGGTACTGTGTAACAAAGTAAAATTATTGTGGACGCTAATTATCATTACATGTAGGCGATAATTACTAGCAGGGCAAATCGCTTACTGACTTTTTTTGCACCAAATTGATGACTTGTTAATGAAAATCGATGCACCCTATAATTTTACCTCATCACCACATCTTTTTCTAGCATTAAGTTCCAAAATACATTTGTATTTATTTTCAACCTTTCATTGCTACTAATATAAATTCCAGAATGAATACTTTGTTACACAGTATATATAATTTGAACATTTAATTTTCATTATAAAACAGACAAATAAAATCAAATGTTCAACTTATCTTCCTAACTTTGAGTTTTACAGATAGAGTATCCACTTCATCAAGGGATTTGATAGTAAAACAGAATTTATTTACTGAATTCATGTATTTCTTAAAAATGGGTAATGGTAGTCTGATTGTTAACATGTGGCCTTGTATAATAACATAGGTAAGGAAATGACGAATATTGAAAAGAATTTGACATAAGACAAAACTGCTAGAAAAAGTAATTTTGCAATTCATCTGCAAGAGGAAGAAAGTGAGATGTGGAATGAAAGAGAGGAAATAGCTATGTGAAATAAATGTTAAACTAATTTCTTTTACATAAATCAGGTTTCAGCAATTTCTGAGTGTGTTGAATATGGTATAAGAATGCTTCATTCATAATGTGAGTGCGTGTCTGTGTGTGAGAGAGGCATTCACAATGATGTTGCAGCATGGATAGTGGCATGTGTGCCCAGATTCTTACTGCAAATATACTATACCAAACTGTATGTGTTGATACACCTGAGGTTGGTTAACTGTGTTATGCTCGATCATTTTTCTTGCATAATATATCCTGCATATTTATAAGTCTACCATTCAACCATGCTTTGAATATTGTTGACAAATATGGTCTGGTGCTCTTGCTATATATTTAGAGATCCTTGATAAAATCCAATTTGCAGTGTTTTGGTCCTGACCTGGCATCTCAGCTTCAGTCACTTTAACCACTGCTGCAATGTAGCTTCCCTGTGCCTTTTCTATAAATATTTTTATGGTAATTGTTTAGGTGAATTCTTCAATATGCTACCTAGACGTTATGAATTTAATCACAACAAGGTTATTTTACAGTTGAAATGGCTAGATGTAACCATAAGTTCTATGCTAAGAGTTTCTTCTCTTGCACTTCTCACTTGTGGAACTCTCTTCCAGCTTCTTGCTTTCCAGTTTAATTTGATCTTCAAAAATTTAAATGCAATGTCAATTGTTATCTTTAGTCTTTTCTTTTGTTGTTCTTGCTCTTTAATATTGTCTTTCTTTTTCTCATATTCTTTCACTCAGTAACCCCTGTGTCTTAGTGGCATTAATACTTTGCTTGAAGTGAAATGAAATGATAAAAAATAAGCAAGCATATCTTGTGTAACGATAACAAAAGATCTCATTAGTAAGTAAGGGACAGTAGACTTCTAATAGATTGCTTTTGTATTTCTTTTGTTTCATGTCAACTTACTTTCTATGCATATATATATATATATATATATATATATATATATATATATATATCTATCACCCCTTCACTGTCGAAACTCCTAAATGTAGCTGTCTCTTCTACTCTAATAGCTTCATGTCTCGCACCTCTCGCCTGTGGAACTCCCTTCCATTCTCCTGTTTCCCTGTGAGCTATAATCTCCAGCTATTCAAGTGTAATGTCAATCGACATCTCCAGTTGCCTTGATCTATCCACTACCCTCATCCTTTCTTCTATCACTCCTATCTGATCTTGCTCTAAATTTTCTGTAACCCCTTGCATCCTAGTGGCTTCCCGTCTTGCTTGGGGTGAAATGCTTAAAAAAAAATATGTATATATATATATATATTCTTTATTGATATTCATCTTCTGATGAATTTAATCAGAGGACAAAATGTGATAGTAAGGAAAAATTTTCCTTTTGTTTTTATTCATATTGTTTTATACACATATATTTTATTTACACACACATATATATATATGGGAAATTAAAAACCAAAACCAAAACCAAAATACACCAAAAATATGAAAAACAGCATCAGCCTACAACAATAAATCCACAAACAGTCAACTCTGTCAGGAGGAAAAAATAGCTATAATCCCCTTCCCACACCAAAACAAATTACTAAATAAATGATCAGAACTTATCTCAAATTGCAGACATAAAAAATTTTTACAATTTTACTTAAAAAGTGAAAACTAAAAACCGTGTAAAATGTCAAAATGAAAAAAGTAAATATACACACTATATACAATGCAGATAATGTAATATACTTTAGACAAAACCAATACTTTAAACTAAACAAATAAAACAACCATCCCCCAAAAATAAAAATAATAATAAAATAACAAATAATTTTTTTTTTAAATAAATAAACAAATCAACAAACTATGAAAGTGCACAAAAACAAACAACACTATACAATACCTACATATAACCACATTCGGATCCACAATTATTCATACTCAATAGCCTATAGAATAACTTAAAACAGAACCGCTACTGCTTTCCCAATATCCATTGGATATACAATAAACCTCACTACCCATAATGAACCAATAAATAGCCAAGTCAACACGCACACACATATGGGATAAAGCTTACATTCAAGCATGAAACAGACTGCCAACTTTCAGTGTTGACCTCAATGTCCACTTTTATATTTACATATGCTCTATCCCTGATATTGATCACTTTTACCCATAAATATAGCATACCTTAAAACTATAGATTTTATCATATTATGTATATATATAAATAATTGTTTTATATACAACAATAGAGTGAATTGTATGAATAGAAATCTTAGATTATTCATACAGAAAATATAATCAAAACAATTGTAACATTACTTAAATATTTCTGTCATTATTTTGCCAATACAAGTAAACCAGTTAATATATGATTTTCTTTTAAATGAAGTGAGATGACTTGATTATTGTTAAGGGGTCCACCCTTTTTTTATACAAGTGGACTCACTCAGAGTGTACTTGTACTGCTGCTGGTGAATACTCGGAAGTGATACAATGATATAGTGAGAGAGTGAGAGTGTGAGGTAACCCCTTTGTAGGAGTCACAGTTGCGAGCACGTAGACTCAGAAGGAAGTCATACTTTGATACTGAATTTCCCAGACTGTATATATATTATTATTGCTACTAACCGCATTTCTGGATCTACTAACAGTATTACCAATTGTATTATTACGTCAATACATTTATTTGCTATATTTCATTCCTGCATTTGTCATTCATTTGAAACTGGATTTCATCTCAAAATCCACAACAATTATATTGTCAACTCTATTTCCAGTAAAAGTGAAATGCTTTTACCAGATTAAGTTGAGTCATAAATAATTTCTGCTTTTGCTTATCAATCTTAGTTTTCAAAAAGAACAGAAAAAGCACAATTACATTTTATTCAGTTACATATTCATCATTATTTGTAATGACGTTGCCATTTATCGAACAGCTCTTTGATACATCTTGAGTAAAATTCCGCAGGTTTTGATGCAAAAAAGTTTTTGACAAAGTCTTGAATCTGGTATTAGAAAATGTTTCCCTATCAAAGCATTTTGCAGTGATTAGTATAAGTGTGCTTTTTAGTGTTTCATTGCATTTAAGAACTCTAACAGAATAATACCCTAACAATCCCAACACATGCACAATATTAACTTTCTTCCATGTAGCTGAACTTTTGGGGTTGGTTGTGAAGATTTATTCTTGTCAATTCACTGCCTTTTGCATTAAACATTGTTATATGCAATCCACTTTTCATCACCTATTATGATATATTATATAATAGTTATGATTAATTGATTTGTTTTCTACAGCTATTAACCATTTGCAGGTTATTTAAAGCTAGAAAATATTTTTAGATTGTAAGGATGGTGTTTTTTTGTTTTTGTTTTTTGAAGTAATAATCGCTTAGTGATACAAGTCCTACTAATTAATCTCTAGCTGAGGGGAGTAGAGGTTAAGTCATACCTTTTCTAAGGATATTTGCTTGTAAGTGAGTATAACAAACCCAAATGGAATTGGAACTTGGCTGTGTGATTAACACTTATTCACTACACCACCTGCACATCCAAACTTTCAGCACATGGTATTCCCAAGTGGTCACCCATCTATGTACTGACCAGGTTCGACATTGCTTAACTTCCGTGATTGTACAGGTACTATGTTTCAACGTGATGTTGCTGCAAGCTAAAAGAATGATTAGTGAGGATGATAGATTCATCATTACAATTGGTTCCCAAATACAGAAATGACTTCTAACTCAACCTAACATAACAAGGCTCTAAGATCAAGTGAAGACTGCATATGTATGGCTCTCTATTTCGGTACTTTAGCACAGAAATAAAAAGGTCTTATAATATCATAATGTATGACTGGAGTACATTGGGCCTGTGTAAATGATGCTTCAGCTCAGAAACTATACCCAGCCTTGTCTATGCCTGTCATATCAAGAAGGTAGGATATGATTCAGCAACCCAAACTTTGTTAAACAATTTGAGTATCAGATCTCCATCAAGAAATAACAAACAATTATGAACAAAGTGTATAATAAACACATTTTTATATAACAATTTAAGAGAGATTATAAGGAAAAGAAAAAGGTCTTTTTTTGTGTGTAATTTAGAAAGTTTGTATTTGTTTCATGCAGAGTTTATAAGGGACTTGCTTTATAAATTGAAAGTTTTCTCATTGAGAAGCATGTGTTAGATTCATTGAGCAACTGTGTGCCTTCTGACCAGCTAGTTTGAAACTGCAATTAGGACTGTTGTTAAGACTGCTCTCTAGACAACATGCATTCTGTTTTATATCTGACTGACTGTCTAGATTGGCTAGAATGTTTTGCTTGTGGGTGATTGCTGTTTGTAAATGGTCTGCATGGATGTTTGCTTGTTCCTATGAGCTGCTGCTGCGTGTGAGTTATTTTGTTTGCACAAAAATGGTATGACTCATGTACATGCTATTAAGTTTTAATTTGTTAAATTAGGGATAATATTCTTAGAAAAGTATTGTTAGAGGCAATGTTGTTGTTTGTGCAGCAGTAGTTTTGTGAAATATGAAATACATAATCTCAATCGATTTAACGATACTTCAATGATAGATACTTTTGTAAAATATTTTCTTATTTTTCAGTCCGTGTATAATGTACCAGACGAAATTTTTACAGTCACACCTATGTCCAAAGGCTTGTTGAATGAACAAGTGAATATTGTGAAGAAATCATCTGATGTTTTGAAAATGATGAGTGCTAACATTGGCTTTGATACTGTAATTAAAGGATTATTTTCAGCCAGTTCCTCTTACAAGAAAATGACCTCATCTTTCTACAATGAATCCCGTTATGTTGAACATGTTGTCGCACACCAGTCAGTATCAAGGGCATCTCTTATCCCAAAATTTTTTCTCAAACTTGGCAAATATGCTCAATTGTATGTAGACAAGTAAGTTTTGATCTTTGTTTCTTTTATAAGATCTCAACAATTTTGTTAATTATGAGTAACAGAACAAGATTTGCTATCATTGAATATTGCTGCCACATCTGGTCTGGTGCTTCTGCTGTGTATTTAGAAATTCTTGATAAAATCCAAAGAAGAATCTGCAATGATATTGGTCCTGACCTGGCATTTCAAAATTAACCACTTTCCCACCACTATAACTTAGCTTCCCTGTACATATTATATAAATATTTTCATGGTAATTGTTCTGTTGAGCTTTCCTCTTTGGTACCTAGACTTTACTAATTTAAGCATAGTACTAGATTGGCAAAAAGATCTTATCATTTTACAGTCGAACTGGCTTGATGTAACTATGTTCAGTGGAAAATGTCATGATGCCATTTCTGACCTTGAGAAAAATATAAAAATAAAAACAAAACAACCTAAGATTACACATATTTTACATTATTATTATAAATTTTAAAATTATTATTATTATGCATTTTAAATTATTATACATTTTAAATTATTATTACTATGATACATCTTAAATTATTATTATTATTATTATTATGATAATGCATTTTAAATTATTATTATTATACATTTTAAACTATTATTATTATTATTTTCTTTACTTAAAACTGACAAGTGAGTATTTAATAATATAAATTATTAATTATTTTTTCTTTATGCAGGTTTCTCCCAAGTAAATTTGAAACTGATCCTCAAAAGTATTTTGAATTCATTACAACTTTTGGAACACATTATTTCTCAACTGTAAATTATGGAGGAAGTTTACAACTTTATTTGGAAACAATGAAATCTTATTACGAAGGTAAAAGTGACAAAGCTGTACAAGCTGAAGCCAGTGCAACATTCTATAAAATCTTGACGGGAATGGGAGGTATATCACGGTCAGTAAAGAAAGTGGATACCAAATTCACAGCAAGTTCTAATCAGATTATCAGGTAAGAATACATATTTTTTATGGTAATTAGAAGTTATTGACATTTCTTGAGCTGGCAATAATAATCATCATACTTATTATAAAACCCAGGTTGTGTGTGTGTGTGTGTGTGTCTGTTCGTTTATATATTGGATCGGATTTCCTACATTTTTCCACCGATTTCAACAAAACTTCACAGAACTACATAAAATTACCTTGCGGTGGTTCTGACAGAGCCAAAAATTGGAAAAACACAATTGTTTTTGCATGAAATCAATTTGAAACATGATTAAGAGGCATCATGAGAATGAAAGGGAGACTACTCATATCGAGTTATACCTATTATAAAACCCAGATTGTTTGTGTGTGTGTGTTCGTTTATATATGAGATTGGATTTCCTACATTTTTAACCGATTTCAACAAAACTTCACTTTTTTTTGGCAGATAGTGTTTCTTATTGTCTTGCACACTTTTTTCTTTATTTTTACATTCAGAATGCTTTAAAAATTCCATTTACAAGACAATTGTTTATAATAAAATTCTATTCAATCGGTAGACTCATAATGATTGAAAACAATGATTTTGTTTGAGTTTGGGTTTGACCAATTTGTAAAAAAAACAAAAAAAAATCAAAACAAAAAAAAACTAATTAAGACATGTGTGTCCGTCAACCTTAAACAATAATCTTAGTCAATTTTATTTTTCAGTCTTTATGATGGTCGATACTTGATCTATTTCTTACTGTTACATCCCAGGGCAACGCCGGGCTCTACTGCTAGTCATTTATATAAAGAGAAAATAGCAATAATTACCTTTCTAGAACAGGATAAGCTTCTAAATAGAAGATCAGAGCTCATTTACAAATGCAGATGTGAAAACAAATTTCTACTATGCTACCTACAACCCAAAAGTACTAAATAAAATCCTATAACTTGCTTCTACTAAACTTTATTACAAATACCAACATTTAGAAACAAAGGAAAATACACAAAAACATGCAAAACAAATAATTAGATAGTGCAAATGAATAAAATAATATATATATATATATATATATATATATATATATAGAGAGAGAGAGAGAGAGAGAGAGAAACCATAGACAAATCCAGTCTATATACACACTTCCTTCAACCAGCATAAATAAGCAGTCTAGATGTCATGACTATAAATAACACTCAGCATTCGACTTAAATAAAGGAAACTTGAAAGGCTTGATTTCCTCATTTCCTAGTGACCTATATGTTGTGGAGTTATTTCACAGTGGAGGATTGTATTGATACTAAGTCGGTCCTAAAATAGGTTCGACGTACAAAACGTTAGGAACGTGGTATTACGCAGAGTAATCTGGTGGTGGTCACTGATACTTTCGTATTAAACTAACTGTCGTCCAACATCGACTGACTGACCGACTACTCCTACTTATTATAGGTGGGAGAGTCTATTAACTATAGATTAGATGTGTTTCCCTATAACACTATATACACATGACACTATATATGTGTGTGTGTGTGTGTAGCCCACTAAAAGAGTAGTGACACTTAGTCTGAAGATTGCAGTCAAGCATGAAACTGGCAGCTGCCATATAATGTTGACTCCCATGTCCACATTCTCTCATATATATGATTATGATACTGACTCATGAAAGTTGAACATACTCAGACATTGAAAATTTTATACTTAAATTTTCACTGGAAACCAGGAAAATGGTTCTCTCTCTCTCCTCTCTCTCTCTCTCTCTCTATCTATCTATCTATATATATATATATATATATATAAGTGGATATATATATATATACACACACACACACATACACATATATATATATATATATATATATATATATATATATATATATATATAAAAAAACTATGTATGTATGTATATATGTGGTTGTGTGTTCTAGAGATATAGTTTAAACAATACATAATACCCAAACCAATTTAGGATCATAATGAATTGCTGCTGAATGCAATGACAAATTTCATGAAAATTAGGTAAGGGGTTCTTGAGCTAAGGTGTTTTTTTCTGTTTTTATGGCATAGGAAATTTGGTATCTTTTTCAATACGCATTCTTATATCAAGCCATGTATATAACCAAACACTTGTGTATTGTATTCCAACTATTATGTGCTTGAAAAATAATAAACATTCATAATACATTATCAAATAAATTTAAAGATAAATAGTGCAACATATATTTATACAATTAACTCCACTACTTTAGAACTTCTTTTTATATAAATAAATATTTGGCAAGTTTGTTATGCCTTTTGCTATTTGCTGAAATTTATGGATAATTTTGTTTGTGCCTATTTTGTTCTTAAGTTCTTAATGTTACTGAGTTGAATAAAATATTTCTGAAATGAAATATAAATATTTATTAAATATCTAAAATCAGGTTGCTTCATACATGAAAGTTCTATATGTGTAGTGTTCATTCAAGATATACATCAAATTTAGTTGGACCAGTTTATTTTTGATTAATGGGACAGTAAGCTGAAATGGATTTGCAATATGTTAGTTATTGAGTGTAGAAAATATTTCCTTAAAATTACTAACAATAAAGTTGATGACATTGGCTATTTGCTGCGGCCTATGGATAATTTTGTTCTTGACTATGCAAAATGAACACAAAAAAGTTTCACAATTTCAAATTTACTCCTCAATACAATCTCCTTCCTTCTAAATTATGGTATTACACCCTTGAACAAAGTCATGTATCATAGATGCTTCCTGGCTGTTTATTAACCGTATACAGTTGTGAAAACTCTAACATTTTACTGTCTACAAGACTCTCCCAAAACTACTTCACCTTGCCTAAGAAAAAAATAGTAAGTTTGCTGAATTCAGTTTTATTATTAATATAATCATTAGAAAAATATTCAAATGTTTCTTTCATTGTCAACTCTATGTAGCTATGTCCAGAGTAGGAAATTCAAATGGACATAACATAATGACAAAAATAAATTTATAAATGAGATGTCTTGGTGAAAATGTTTACACGGTGAAGAAAAGTGTAACTTGAGTAATCAATGAATGCCGAATGTTTTCATATGAGGAAACGGCTAATATTACCATTACTGCTCATGTTCTGAAAGAACTTGTCATATAAATGAATAATACCTTCACAATTACTATTAACTTTACAGCTAACCTTTCACACTTTCCATTATCAATATTACTTCCCATTCTTTTTATTGTTAATTTCACTCAAAGTTGTTTTTTGTAGCCATAGCAGGATATGAGAACAAAAACTATAAAATTTAAACAAATTCAAATTCAGGGATCTGTCATCTTCAGTGGCAGGATAAACTTTTTGTGCAGCAACTGAAGTCACATATAGAGTGATAAAGGTTAAGAGAGATTTTCTGATATAGTTTGAAATGGGTTACTGTTTAAATAAAGAGATAAATTTTAAGATTGCAGAATTGGAATAATTTTGTTTCTTATTGCCTGTTGCTTATAATAAAATATTTTTTAAAAACTTTTCTTTTGTAGGTATTATGGAGGTGATACAAACCTGTTGGTTTCAGGAGGAATAGCCAAGTGGCAACCAACAGTGGCCAAAAATCCATGGGTCTTTGGTGGCCAGCTTGTTCCTCTTGGTGATCTCATTGCAGATAAATCAAAGAGGGAATCCATGAAAAAAGCTACCCAAATATATATTGATCTGGCTTATTTAGATTCCCTGATACGTTTTCTACACTGGGCTTCCAATAAATATTCACCCTCCACCGAACAAATATCAAATTATGTGCAACAAGTGAAAGCTTTAAAAACTGCTAAAGCAAATGATCATGAAGCAGTCATTAAACTTGGTAACAAAATAGAAGAAGAATTAGAAATTCCATCCTGGTTTTACAATCAAGTTAAACTGTGTTACTTTTGGTACCCAGATGGTGATGGTGGTCAGTGTGGAGGTGGTGCTGCACGGAATCTTTGTGCAAAGGTTGGAACTATGACTACTTATTACAGGGATGATACTGATAAACGTGGAGGAGGTTGTCGCATGAAGTGGGGAATCATGAAACCTGGTAGACTAAATGAAAGCTGGCTCAAACAGGTACAAATTTGCTACAACTGGTGGCCTGATGGAGATGGTGGTCAATGTGGAGGTGGTGCTGCCAGAAACCTGTGTGCTCCTATTAATCAATTTACTGCTGTATATAGAGATGATACTGATCGACGTGGAGGAGGCTGTCGTATGCGATGGAAATTGGTTGTTCCTAGCAGTGCACCTATTTGGCTAAAGAATATGAAACTGTGCTTCCAGTGGTACCCTGATGGTGATGCTGGGCAGTGTGGAGGAGGAGTGGATAGATTATTGTGTGCTACTGCAAATAGCTGGACCACAGCCTATCGAGATGACACTGACAGAAGAGGTGGTGGCTGTCGAATGCGTTGGGGCCTTATTCCAAGTTAAAACTTTCACTTAATGATTTCACTAAATGATGACATCAAATAAGTTAGTGATTGCCCTAACCAAATAATAAATTTAACTGATCTGAACTTGGAACTTATTATAGTGTTGCAAAATTAAATATGGAATTCATCATCAGGTGTAAGGAACACATTTGCAGCCTCTCTATGTGAAATTTTCTAAAACAAATCTACCATTTATTCCTGTAAAACAGAAATGTTAGTACAAGAAATTGTTTGCATAAAAACAGCAGACATTTTGTCAAAATAAAATTGCATGTTAATTTGCTGATTCCCAAAGTTTTAGATTGGATTTTTCTTTTCAAATAATACTAATTTACTAATATCTAAGCAATAGTAAACTAACATGCAATTTTTTGTACTAACCACATCTATTTATGATAGTACAAGATTTTGAAAATCTATAAAACCAGTCTGGCTAATTATGAAGTGTGTATTATTTTGTATTTTCCATTGCCAATTTAATATTTTTGATATGATCCTGTTCAATAAAATAAAATTTTATTTTTGGTTATATATCGCTGCCTTTTTACTTTGTTCAAGTTTTGCTTTCTGTGAGGCTTTAAACATACATGTCTTTTGCCCAAGATTTCCACTGACTGGCCAATAATTATCCTATGTTGCTTTTTGATTCTCAATGTCATCAATGTACACTGATAACTGGGAAAGATCCTGCTGCATGCTCACAATGTAACAAGATGAAAGACAAATGCCACATGAAGATAGGAAAATATGAACACTGTTTCCCACATAAAATAGATGTTTTATTCAGGGCTTAGTCTGCTTGGGTAGGTAGGTGATACTTGGAACAACTTCTGCTATGTGTCTCTTACTCCTACCAATACATACTCATCCTGATGTAATGGCTGGTAATATGAATGGATGGCATGAAAACCACACGATGAACATGTCTGTCTCTTGCCGACCAGAATGCTTCCCTGATCCCAAGCATGACTTAATACAGACCAGCACCTGGATATACCCTATTTCCAGTTTTGTTACCAATTGATCCCCAAAAAACTCCCATATACTCCTTTACTTCTGCGTTATCCTTTGGTGGAAGTAGATGCTGCTTAGAAGACTGAACTTCAAATGAAGCCATTTATTGAACATCAAACAGAAACACTTGCAACTCAGATAAAACCACTTTCTCTTTCTATATAGGTGTCCATAGTTTTACAATGACAGTATTTACTGTTGAGTAATGGTTAACAAACTAGTTTCATAGACCATTGCTATTGCTTTTGATGACATATAAGACTCCCCTCCCTTTACATTTCAGAATGTGTAAGTGATATAGTGGATAGCAACTCAGAATGAGAAATCAGAGAGCTAAGTTCAAGTTGAGTTCATTACATTCACTTACGCACAAATATCCTTGGGAAAGGTATGGATCCATCTCTTCTGCCCTAGCTATGGGTTAAATAGGAGGCCTTGTATATGGAAAAAATCATTGTTAATGCAATATTCACTTGCAATAAAAAAAGGAATTATTCTTACAATTCAAAATATGTTTCAGCTTTAAAGAATCCACAAGGGGTTGATAAGTTGTAAAAAAAACATAATCAATAAATCATACACCATTTCAACAGAAAATATTTTGAAAAAATTGTTTGATATTATTGCTATACCATATCTATGGACTATGATGTCCCAAGCCATATAAATACAGTATTATCTAGTTCTTATTTTTTTATTATTTATGTTCTGCTAAGTTATTGTTTACCCATTTAACATTGTGCACACTGCCTATCCCAGAGATTGAACTTGGTGACACAGTGATTGTGAGATATTTCCTGTGTTGGGTAGTGTGTACTCGAACTCACTGGAAATGAACAGGCAATAACTAAGCTGTACTAAAAAACAAGAACTACACAATATCAATACATCTATTTGATGTTGAAGTAGATCTTCAAACAAAACACTACTGATAAAAGTAATAATGGTTACTGAGCTTAAGAAACCTATTTTCCTGAAAAATTGTCTCAATAGAAAGATTTAATAAATTTCAACCAAATGTAGCACTGGTTGTTTGGTCAATGAATGTCAAATGTTTCCTTATAAGGAAACCATTACCATAATTAAATGTTATCTAATACAGTAGAATCCTTGAGAACTGAACTAAGAAGTCCTTCCAGATATGAGGAATTGGTTACAAAGTTTGGATATGAGGGGTCATATTAATATTAAAATAAAAGAACTGAAATCAGGTTTAACATTTATTTTCAATGTTTTATAGTAAACAAAATAAGCTAATGGTGAGCGAAATATAATGGAACATTTAAAAAAAAATAAAGAAATAAATTATATAATTTTAATGAAAATTCATTAAATTAAGTATGCCACATATGCAAAACAAATAATGCAACAAGGATTTTTTAATCACTGTTGCATTATGATTCTTTCTATTTTAATGTCATTCTCAACCTTTCCCCATTTCAACTTTTCTTTTGTTCTTGAATTTTTCTAAACAAAAGACACTTTTTAACTGTGTGTGTTATTGCAATCATCATAGCTTAATGCTGGCTCTCATTCCATAAAACTGTCAAACTTTTCAATCGCTTTTTTATTTTCAGGCTAGGTTTCATCACAATCATGTTTTTTATTTCCTCATTCATTGTGACAGTGTGAATGCTGGAGAATAGTTTCTTTGGAAGATTTTATAATGTACAATGTTGACTTTTTTATGTTGAACTTAGCCATTAGTTAGAATGCGTCTAGTCTGTTTAAAATTTCCACTTTTTTAAATAACTCCAAAGTTGTTCTTTTCCTCTTATTTCCATCATCTTTTGCACCAATACAAGCCATTAGGGTGAAATAAGCATGAGCAATTATCCAAAGTAAATTTCTTGAAAAGCAGAAATTTCAAATCAGTTACATATCATCCAAATAGTTCAAATATACACATCAAAATCATGTCCGGATATGTGGGATTCTGGAGATGATGGATTCTAGATATGAGGGATTTTACCGTATTTTTAAATCCATCAATAAAAATTCTTATAACACCAAAATGTCAGTATTTTATTGAAGAAATTGAAAAAAAATTTTTTTATATTTCTTGACATATCAAAAACTTAATAATACTTTGGAAAACTTAAAAGTATTACATTTATTACTTTTATGTGTGATCATTTGTCCAGAATTTAGAGATCCTTTGTAAGAGTATAACAGAGAACTATGACTGCCTAAACAAACTTGACGTTTAATAAAGATTTTATATTTTTGGCCAGTTGATCAATGAATGGTAAATGTTGCCTTATAAGGAAATGGCTAATATTACCATTACATTTTCTTCTTTAAAATATAATTAACTAATAAAAATCATCTCAAACACTGTCCTAATCTTGGTTGCCATATTTGATTTTTTAGATTAAGTAGTGTTATTATTTGAACCATTTACATATCTCAGATTAACATCCTTATCTTGACCTATTATATCCACTTCTTGTATGTGCTGTGTTCCTTCTAGTCATTGGCAATCATGGCTTTATTCTATCATTTTTCCAGATACACCTTTTTGAGGTTCTTAATAAATTTTGTCTTTTTGTTATTTCTCCTAAACCCTGTTTTGTATGAAATGCATTTACTCAACGCTCAAATTTTGGAAAAAGCATTGAAGATCCTCTGAGCTCTTGCTTTCATATATTTTCCTGTGGTCTCAAATTTTCGCAAGCATTTCTTTAATGCACTTTAGAAATTTTAAACAGTTTGATTTTCTGATGTTAAATTTAAGTGTTCTTTGTTCCCCAAATTCCTTAAAAAATTTTCGATATGCAACCCTCATATTCGGTTCATGATATCCTCATCATCCTTCTGTATTCATCAACATTTATGTTAAATTCAAATTTTGCTTCATCTTTGAGGAGAAATCAGCATTCAGTGCAACATCCATAATTTGTTACACATTGCAGTTCTGCACACTTTTGTTTTCTAACAAAATTTTCCTGTTTCTTAATACTTTGCTTAACTTTTTTTATTCATCTTTCGTTATCCCAATGTATCTTCAGATATTAATGTTGCACTTTCTGCCCTCTGTTTAAAAAACATCTAAGATATTCAATTTTTTTGCATCTTGGTTTGATTTAGGTATTTTTTTTTTTATCCATTTCACCTCTAGCCACCCATAGTACATAAAGGGTTAGTGAACCCAATTTTGAGAAGCAATATGACGGATAGAGGAAAGAACTAGAGAAGGATATTGGATAATCCGAAGGCATCTGGAACTGTCAATTGACATTAGTATTTAGAATAGTTGGAAATTAATAGCTATCATTTTGGGAAACAGGAATAAAGAAGGGGGTTCCAAGGCGATCTCCTGTGAAGATATGTACGATTATTGGAGAAGAGCTCATTACATTTAACAGTTTCAACAGTGAAAGGGTGAGAACAGGATGCCAGTGATACCTATCGTAATAATAAACTTTAACTTCAAAAAGTCTGGGAACCACAGTAAAGCAGCTCATCGGAGCAATTACCATGAAAGTATTTGTAAAAAAACAGAAAGTTAATCCCCCTGACACATCTGTGAGAGAGCGACTGTAGATGAGATGCCAGATCAGGGCCAATTATAAGATATCCGTCTCTGGATCTTATCAAGAAGGCAAACAGAAGGGCTCCAGACCACATATGACAGTAATACATCCATGCAAGGGTGAATGGTTGAATGTAAATTTGAAGGATTGATTCCGGGAGAAAAATTTCCTTTTTCAAATGGTCACAGGACTTTGAGGAAACGAGTTTGAAGATTGTGGTTAGGATGAAAAAATTGACTCAATGTATTTGTTCCATCTCAGGTCAATTATAAAAAATAAAATTGAGACCGAACTGCAGCAATAAAGCGTTTTATCTTGGGAAGATGAAACGTCATGTTATCACCAATTTGTTAATTTGCATATCTAAAACTGTTGTCCTCCTCTCAATTGTTATATTCACAATCCTTCTGAGATGAGTTGTTATAGTTTTCATTATTTTCACATCTCAGAATATTGTTCTTATATTGGCTGTTACATTTACAATATTTCTGAGATGAGGAATTATTATATTATTTATATGATTTGGATTAACGTTCACATTTTGATTGACATCATACTCACAGCATCTAAAAATCATACGATCACTGAAGTTAAGCCTGGTCAGTGCCTAGATGGGTAATTACTTGGGAATTTAAATTTTGTCTAAGTTTTTTATTTATTGAATGGTGTAATGGATAACATTTCAAAATTGAAAATTGAATTTAGGATTTTCAATTCATTTTTTCATTCAATTTATAAATTCATTTACATTATTTAAATTGTTCTTGAAAAATAGTAAAAACCCATTTCTTCTCTCCAGCTAAAAAGTTAATTAAATTGAGGAATTTGTTTTTTTCCCACTAGCTATGGGTTATTAAGTAGAATTTGTTTTGATAAAATCATTATCATCTCTAAAAAAATTTTGATAAAATCATTATCATCTCTAAAAAAATTTCTAAAATCTAAAAATATTTTCTGGTTTTAAGTAACTTTTAAAAGGTTGATAAACCATAAAAAAAACAAATCAATCAATTCTATTCTTTGTTTGCCATTTATATCAAAAAATTAAGTAAAAAAATTCACTTGTTTTCCTCTGTCCTCCTTTGAAAAAAATCTGTCTTTGTGAGTATGAAGTTTTCAAGTCTTCTTTTCCTCATTATATCCATAAGAGGGATTTCAACTGTCTCTTTCTGATTTTAAGTATAAGTGTACTTTTTGTTTCTATTTTCCTTAAAACTTTCTCATTACTAATATGTTCTGTCCATGGTATTCTTAGCACCCTTCTATAGAACCATATTTCTGTTGTCTCAATTCTTTTCTTCATCTGTGAGATTATCTATATAAGTGCAAATGTCAGCGTGTCACATTTTTTCAATTAAAAGGGACACAACTCTAACTTTCAACAGCTCATCATTTTCCATATGATAAATGCAAATGTCAGTGTGTCACACTTTTTCAACTTCATTCTTAGAGGGCGTAACTAAACATATTATACCATTTTGGAGTCAGGTCAACTGTGAGCAAATTAAAAACCTTCTGGGTCAGAATTCTGAAATTTTGGATTCCCAAGTTTTCATTATTGTGATTGTTTTTTTATGTGATTTTTTGACGCGGATGTATTTTTTTTTGTCAAAATAAATTTTATAACTTGAAAATAAAAAAAATTTAATCAAAATTAATTACAAAATCCAGCTTTAGTAAATGAAATAAAAAATAAAATGCAAAAAGCAAGGACCTAATACATGAAATTGTCTTTAAACTAAGTGATAGCAGAAGAATTACTGTTGAACTTTTTTTAAAGGTAAATTTAAATATTTATTGCAATAAGAAATGCAGTGATCACTTTTGAACTTCTGTGTACTATTGTTGCCTATCACATCTATACCTCCCTACTTATTGTGATGAAGGCCAAATCAAGTTAGCCCTCTGCAGGAGTTTATTTAAATGTACCTGATAGGGTGGCTTTTTATAATATCCAAATTATATGAGGACTGATATTACATAACAATTCAGCACACTTTTTTTTGTAAAGCAAACCAAGTTACTTTGTGTACCTTATGTCTTGCAGGACATTTTGTGCATCTCTCAAAATCACTCCATAGAAAACAAAGAACATCATTTTTCAGATAGATTTTGGCAAAGTTTAACATTTGTGCTGAAAAAAAAATTGTATCAAAATATGACACTGTATTACTGTACATGTATACAATAATAACAGTGTCAAGAGAAAAAAAAATCTAGTTTTTAAAACAAAAAAATTTCCAAAAATATAATTGGATTAAACACATTTTTAAAACTATATCTTTTTTTTTTGTCTTGATACTAATAAAGTTATAGTTAAGCAAAAACATTAGTAATAACAATTGTAAAGATAAAACAAAATCTTTTTTAGAATTATAATAAAACCCAAACTTAGGAAACTGAATTTATGCATTTTCTTTTTTTCTTAAGAATTGACAACAATTTATTTTATTAGATTCCTCATTTACAAAAATAATTGTACATTGAAAAGTTTATAAAAATATGGGAACTAACTACAATGCAATATTTATTATTTACTATATTATAAATAAATAATTCTGAAAACAAAAAAATTTAAACAAACCCACATAACTACAAGTAACTAATAAAATTTTGAAAAATGAATTTCTTTTATTTGCTTTCACCGCATAAATTCAATAAAATAGTTGAAAAGCAGCTGGATTTATAACTTTTTTTTTTTTTCAAGAAATGACAACAAAAATGTTAAACACTATTTATTTATTAGTCTGTTTATTTACAAGGATTGTGTTTAATATTTTTGTTATCAACTCTCAAAAGAAGAAAAAAAAATGTATAAATCCAGTTTCACATGACTGTTTTTTTTATTAAAATTCTAAAATTAACTTTTTAAAGTTTGTCTATATTTCTGAGATGAGGTACTATGTACAGTATTCACATTAGTCGGACCAAGCATAGAAATAAATACAATATGGGAACCAGTAATAAGGAGTGCCAGAGAAAAGCAATGATAACAAAGTTGCAATATGAACTCTGGTAAAGACATGCAATGATAACAGCAAAAATTGCAATATGAGCACTGGTAAAAATGATGCTGGAAACATTAGGTTTATAATACTCAGAAGTTCATACCCAGATGTCCTCAAGGACACATGGCACAGTGGATAAAGGCGTTGGTTAGATCCAGTGACAGACCCAAAGAAGGTGAGTTCAATACCTGGTTAAGGCTTTCAGAGGGAAAATTAGCAAGAGATAACTGATAACTGACATCCATCAAACATGGCACGTGGAATTAGAACAGTCTACCCCAGTGATCGAAATAAAGGGTTAGGTTCGAAATTCCAACCACCTGAAGAAGGCCGGAGCGTACAACGGCCGAAACGTTGTGACAAATATGGCGACAAAGATGAGGACAATAGTCCGACTAACGTGAATACTGTAACTTTTTAAAATAATAAAAATTACTGAGAGTGTTTATGGTAATAGCAGTGTCAATGGAAACATCATATTTTTTCAGGGGCCAATGTAAAACTTTGCCAGTTTTTCTTTATTTATAGAAGCTATTTTGTTCCTTAAGTTCTCCAGACTTTGGGTGAAGCACTTCATTTATATTGTGGAAAACACAAAGAGTTTATACTGAAAAATTCTTCTGTATGCCTTCAGCAATTTCAAGGGTCCTGAGAGCAATAGCATCAAGTTCATGAACATCTCGTTTCCCAGTCAATTTTTCAGCAAAGTGTAAGAGATCTTCCATGAACAAACCTGGAAGACATAAATGATATAAAAGAAACATACATGTTTTTAATTTTTGTCATTGTTTAACCTTTGTGTCTGCAAAAGAAAATTTTTTAAAATGGTGTGTCAAAAGGATGGTTTATCCCTTGACACTACTATTACTGTATACACTTTTGACTCCCTCAGCAATGTTTATTTACAAGATTATAAAAATATGTGAACAAAGTACAATGCAATATTTATTGTTTACCTTTTATAAAGATTTATTATTTAACATTTTATAAAGAACTAAATTTGAAAAAAGCCTTTTTATTCAAAAATTTATTAAAAAAATTATCAAAATATGTAAAAGGAAGAGATGCTCTGAACTTATTTTAGTGAATTTATATAGTGAGAGCAAAAAGAAATACTTAGTAAATGCATGTTCTCAAAATTGATAATTACAGTTACTCATTGTTATGTATTTATTTAAATTTTCTTGTTCCAACATTTTTATAAATTTTTGAATAAAAAAATTACTTTTCATATTTATTTCATTATAAAATGGTATATGATAAATATTGCAATTTATATGATTCACATATTTTTATAATCTCATAAATATAAAATTATTCTTGTAAATAAGCAATAATAATAAACACTATTAGATTGTTTATTTACACTATTTATTTATTAGAGTGTTTATTGGAATGATCATCAAAACATCTAATTTCCAATTAATCCAAACTCTATACAAATGTTAAATAATAGGGACTTCATTATAGTTGGTCCATATATTTTAATAATTTAGCAAATATTTATATCTAAAAATTGTTTTCATATTTATTTCTTTATAAAATGGTAAAAAACACATATTAATTTGCATTAGTTTTAATTGTATTCATTTTTAGAATGTTGTAAATATAAAATTATTCTTGTAAATAAACAATGTAATAAATAGATATTTTTGTTGGAAATTCTCAAAAACAAAAAAAAATGATTAAATTTATTTTCATCATGTTTAGGGTTTATTACAATTCAATGTTTATTAAGACAATAAACATTGCTGAGGAGTGAAGGTAGTTAAAATAATAGTGGTGTCAAGGGAAAAAAGCGTCCTTTTGACACAGTTTTTTTGCAGGCATAAAAGTTAAACATTGCCAATTTTGTTATGTACTTCTTTAATAAATCCTGCCTCTGATACCACAAGTTTCATTATAATCACTGTATCTGCTAATCAATGGGCACATGGCCAAGTGGTTAGGATGTTTCCTAACATGAGACTCAGGTTTGCATCTCACTATGTTTGATTTGTCAGGAAGGTGACTTCCTGATGTTATCAGTCTGGGAAGGTGATCCCAGCATGCAGCAGTTGTGGAAAGTGCCTGAAATCATACCATGGGTTGACCCAAGTCTTGTGAGGGAAATTGGGTAGACAACTATTTGGGAGCTGTCGATAGTTGTGCTAGCACAAAAATACAAGCAGGTCTGTGGAGTCAGAACACAAAACCTTTGACTCCTTTCTTTTTGGCACCTCCAACTCCGCTTTATGTAATTATGTGATTATGATCTACAAATTTCAAAGCTTATGCATACTTTCCTAACTTGAGTAGGCCTATATCATTAAAACTGGTTTATACCAAAGAATAAAATATTGTTGCTATTATATCATATCTATTCATTCTTCAATATTTTCTAACAGAATTAGAGACAAAATCATTGAAAGGATATCGAATAAATAACTCTAAAAATGCTATAATGTAAGACTTTTTGCACATATATACATATATATATATATCTTTGCAAATAAGAAATAAGTACAGAACAAAAATAAAATTACTTTATAACAGAAAAAAAGAAATATAATCTTTTTACAAATTTTACAAAAAAATGGTTAATTCTATAAATGTAAATTTTTTTTTTTTAATATAGTTTTGCAAATACAAAATAACTTCAAAAAAATAAAACAACTTTAAAAAGGAACCTGAGATGAATTACTTTAAAGGAAATACAGTAAAATAAAGACAGAGTAGAAGAAATAACAATAAAAATTCTATAATGCAAGACTTTTTACATAAAGTGTAAATTCAATTGAACTCGGAGTTGGTATAATTTTACTAATTCTGACTCCAGTGACCCCTTAATTGCTTCCAACTCCAACATCCCTGGTTACAAGTCATCGTGACTGAGGCTTTGAGTGTATTGGCTTTGTTCAGACTGTTGATCATGCCAATTCACTTACTCTGAAACTGTAACTAAGCCCCACTCAGCATAATTTCGGTGCAAACCACTGGTGGGCTCAGTGGGTATTGAACAAACACAAATGTGCCTGAGCAAGCATCTGCAACAGGGATTGACTAGCCACCCTAGTAGACAGGCATACTCAGATATGAGCAGTCATTATTATTATTATTATCTGCTTTTCAATATTTGTATATACTGAGTAGCAATAACTTAGTCATTTATATATAATACAAGTACACTGAATGCAGATTTAAATTTGGATACTTTAAGTGCATCTTATTAGGCAGTCAAACATGGTACATAATAATTAAATAAACTTTTTTGTGGAAATATCTTTATACATTTTTTTTAACAGTAAAAGAAAAAAAAATACCCAGTCCAGTTTCAGTCATCTGGGATACTTCAGGTTCTTTGTCTATAACACTTCCATCCTCAAATTTCAGTAGATAATCTTTACCCCAACGAAGTGGTTCCTTTGTTAGATGGATTGTTAAAGTTATATCCCTGAAAAGAAAATATATAAACAAATTCAAAATAAATATTTAGGTTATGCATCATCCATTAGGATAAGCTAATATATAAAGTTTTGATATGTCCTAATATCAATATGATAAATATTTGTATAAGGTATGAATAAATTGTTTCCAATGTACAACATCTTACTTTCTGATTTATTCAATGCTTTAGAACTTTAAATGTCAAATATGATACTCAGTATATAAGGAGAACTAGTCAAAGTTTGTAAGTGAGAAGTATGTACCAGCTAAGATCTGTAATGGGTGTGATGACAACATACATATGTTTGTCAATACATCTGGATCTGTGACTGCAGAACATCTAATCCAATTTATGTTTCATCTTTCATTGGAGATTTTTTTCTCAGTTGTCATCAGAACACAGATTACCATTTGAAAGTACTTGAGACCCTGCCTATTAAATCTAAGCAACCTTCTCTTTGCAAGCAAAAAAATTGGTTGCTGGGTCTTAATATAATCTATTTGGGACTCATGGTGCTGATGCTTTGGTAATAAATCAGAGGTGTTCTACAGAGACAATATATGAAGTGTATTTCTTGTGTTTCAGCCAAATATGATGACATTTCTTTTCAATATAATGAATTACCATATTTGACAGACTACTGAACATTGATCTTTTCCAAAAAAATTCACTAGAAAATTACCGTGGATCCAATACAGCAGTATGAGAGAGACATGAAGACCAGAATAAAAGTGGATTTCACCAGGAATCAGTGCACACATAGAGCTTAGCTCTGAAACTAGGACTCTTAAAAATATCCCTGAAAAATTCTCCCATGAAAAAGAAATTAAGGCCTGTATCTCACTAGGTTTGACATCCGAGACATGCAAGCTAGCCGATGACCTCCCATCACCCATATAAATATAATTAAATTTAAACCTTATCTTAAAATGTTAACCTGTCCAAGGCTCTCTACACAAAGAAAAACGTGGCAGGACCATAATTAGCATGATAATTAGTCAGTACTAGATAAAGGTAAGGTTATAATTTTGATTTTTTTTCATTGTGATGTGTGGATTTTTTTCCCCTAAATATTCCATGTCAAAATCTGGGTACATCCAATAGGCCAGCAAATACAGTAAGTATTAAGAAAAGGAACTAAGAAGATTCTAAATAATTTTCAGTTTAAGAATAGATATTAATTTATGAATAAAGACAAAAGGAAAACATAGCTGACATGTTTCATCTTCTGATAGACTTTATAAAGGCAAATGTATGGATTTTATTTTGCATCAAGTATTTATAAACAGAAGCAAAAATGTTGTCAGTTTTTCAGTAATTTTGAATTAAAGAATGCTCATAAATAAACTTCAGGCTAACTGTGAAAGTCAAGGTAAACTATGGAGGATGCTAAGTGATGTAATTTAATGTCTAGTCATTGAAAGTGGGTCAATATTGCTGATATTTTTTTTTAACTTCAGTAGCATAGAATCTTTTCTCTTGCAATTTTAGTGGATGTGTTAATTATATGGGTAAATACTTGTTGAGAATAGGCTGCGTGATAAATTAACGATTTCCACTAATATCAAAATCTCTATATTCATACATAGAATAAGATACAAAACTCAACGGAATGATTTCAAAACATAACAATTAGATTTATTAATGTTTGATGTACATGCATGCGAACTGAAAAGGTAGGACAGAGTCGTGTCCCTTTGATTTGGTAATATTTGTACCGGAGTTCATATTAAGAAGTAATATTGAACTTGTAATTTAGAAGAATAAAGTTTGGAATTGCGAGTTCTAAAGTTGGTAAAAGTTCAGGAGTGATTTCAGAGTTCGTGAATGTTGGTAATTATCTTTAACGTCTGGCCAGCAAATGACTAAGACGGGAGTTCCTGAAGGTTACATCTTGGCACTTGGTAGCAAGGTATGAGACGTTCGAGAGAGATGAATGAAAAGAAAGCTACTACTCCTCAAAAAGTTCACACGTGTTCGATTTATATAATGGCCATGTACCACGTGGGAGGCTCAAACGGAGAAAGCGGGAAAAACAGATTGGTCGTGTGCAGGTGGTTTGATTGGTCGGAACTGACCAATCAGCAAGCAAGATTGGAGGTGATTGACCAATGAATACTTGTTATATTGTATGAAAGTAGAATTTTACTTACCAGATAGGAAAAGTGCATTTCCTAAAAAGAGGTAAGGCTGGTTTGTTGTGGAAGATTCCACACAATGATCACCAGATATCTTTGCACTTTGTGAAACCAATTGAAATTCTTTGATTGCTACCAATGAATTCTCTTTACGAGGCTATCTTCCTGTTTGCCATAAAGACTCTAGCATTCACATGCATGGCCTTGGTGTTTACATCCTGGATAATCTTCCAATGACAAGGGAATTGTCACTTGTGTCGCCAGACAACTCTTATTTGCTTTTAACTTTTTTTTATTGTTAATAACTGTTAGTGACCTCTTTTTTGCTCCCCCTCTTCTCAAGATAGCAATATATTAGATAAAATTTCTGACAGTATAGAAATGGCACACTCTCTTGATCAATCTGTGAACATCTATAAATGCAATACTAGATTGGCAGCTAGGTCTCATAAACTGTTGAAATTTCTAGTTGTAATCATAAGTTCTATGCTAATTGTTCCTTCTGACACACTTCTCATTTGTGGAAATCTCTTCCAGCTTTCTTGTCAACTAGGATCTTCAAAAATTTAAATGAAATGTTAATCATCATCTTCTTTCTCCTCAAATCCTGTTCTTTTATTGTCCTCTCTGTTTCTTTCACACTCAGTAACCCTTTGCATCTTAGTGGCTTTTATCGCCTTGCTTGGAATGAAATAAAAAAAAACAAAATCTGACCACTCCATTTAGCCAGAACTTAATGCCAAATTGAAAATTTTACAAAAATGTTTGGGCAAACTATAAGAAAAAAAAAATGGAATATTAGAAGGATGGGTTTTTTCTCAGTTTCTTTCACTTTTGTGTCTTAGTGGCTTTATTGCTTTGCTTGGGGGTGAAATGAAAAAAAAAAAAAAATTCTGAATTTTTACCTTTCTACATTTGTCAGTTTTATGCATAAATGCAATTGTAAAGTAGTGAAGGCAGGAACTCTTTGCTAATTGTTACAACACAAAATGAGGGGAGAAATGTTCATAATATCGCCTATTGCATGTCCATTCTCCTAAATAATGTTTTTTTTTTTTTTTCCAGATTCTATCACACTCAGTAACTCCTTGCATCTTAGTGGCTTTATTGCCTTGCTTGGGGCGAAATGATTAGGAAAAATAGATATGGCAACAATACTCAATTTTTGTTCTAATCTAACTCTTGTAAAGTTAAAGCATGGTAGATGAAGTCAGACACCTCGGGAATGATAGAATGAGTTCTACATGAAATCTGGAGTGAACTCAAGACTAAAGAGATGTTCAAATCATGGAACCACTTTCTCCTGTAAAAATACTGTAGTCATTGTGCATACTAAGGCTGTGTAATAAGAGGAGAATGAGTGCAGACACCAAAGTAACTTAAAGCCTGGAAGAGACCAGTTAAAAAGTTATGCCAGAATGTTAAAAGTCCTCTAAAATATTTTGAGGAACCTGCAAATGGAGGATCATTGAAACTAACTTGTTTAGACTCTGCCTAAATCCAGCACTGCTTGTAACAGAAGATTAAATAGGGTTAGGTTATAAGTATTATACCCAGGGCCAAAGGGTCTCGTGCCCCCACTCTGAATCTATGTTACAGGTCCCCTCCTCACTCTACTATATTACAATTTTCATAATGCAGTATTCATATAAAATACTAATTATGTACAATAATGGATCATATGCAATATAGGTGAACAATTCAACTAGAAAAATTGAAAATAAATACAATATATCTTAAATACAAATTAGAGACGTCTTAACATATTCAATCTTAAATAAATCAACTATGTTTTGGGATAATTTTTAATATCAACTTGAGATTTTTTCTTTTTAAAAAGTTAAATTTTAACACATTCAAAATTATGGATAAAAAATAGTGAATTTTTATTTAGTTTTCATCCAGATTCATGAATTTGATTTGCTCATGCTAGGGTATGAACAAAACAAATTCGGAGGATGATGTCAAAATCCATGAAAATTTTTCCTCCTTTAACAGTCAGTTATACTTAATTTAATTTTTACTGTATATAAAATGTAGGTAGAACAAAGCAAATGTTGATAAGATAGTGAGGGTCACAAAGGACTGCCTCAGGTGTCCCCTCCCTAACAGTTGGGAGGCTTAGGGGTAGTACACACCAGACTTGATTATACCTAATGGAGATATTAAAGGTAGATATTTTGAAGATTTAAACTCACTTGTTGTCCTTGGTTTTCACATTGCCAGTGGCAACATAGCCTTTTTCATTGGTGATCAGCTGACCCCCCACTGGGGTCAAATCTCCAAATAAGTACATCATATATTTGATCAAACCTTGTTGCACAGTGAAAGGATAGCCATTCTCCTCAAACTTTTCCAGCCAACCAATAAAGTAAGCTTAAAATGAAAAATAAGAGCAGTTTTCATTAAAAATCATTACATTAAAAAAAAAAAAATTTGCTCAAAAAAAAAACTAAAATTGGCTGTTAAACATATACTTACTATTTATGAAATGTAAATATATATATATATATATATATATATATATATATATATATATATATATATATATATATATATATATATATATATATATATAATATAGTAATAAACTTAATTAATTCTTATTCTAACAGAAATGAATGCATTTTTTTTTTCATTTTAACTGATGAAAAAAATGTATTTGTACAAAACAAAAAAAGCATATTAACTTAATTTAATACTTTGTGGAATATCCTTTATTGAGTTCAACAGCTACCAGTCTATTCATGTACATCTCAACTAATGATTCACACACATTGAGTGGTATTTTGTCCCATTCTTCTTGGCATATTGTCTTCAAATTCTTGATATTTGTTGGTGCTCTTTTCCCAATTTGAATTTTCAAATATTGCCATAAATTCTCGATTGGGTTCAAGTCTGGAGACTGACTTGGCCATTGCAAGACGTCAATGTTACTTTCAGCTAACCATTTCCTTGTAGATTTAGCGGTATGCTTAGGATCATTATCCAGTTGGAAAACCCAATCAGGAGGTAGCCGAAGTCTCTCAACAGAATGCATTAAATTGTCTTGCAGGATTTTCTGGTAGCTTTTGGCATTCATCTTGCCATCTATTATTGATATTCTGCCAACACCTTTTGCAGAAAAACTGCCCCAGATCATGATACTGCCACCACCAAACTTTACAGTTGGCAACATGTTCTTTGGTAAGTAGGCTTCATTGTCCTTCCTCCACACATGATTTTGTTAATTATAACCAAACAACTCTATTTTAGTTTCATCTGTCCATAGTACTTTTTCCCCAAAATGAATATTCTTTATCTTTATGCTCTCTAACAAATTTTAGCCTAGCATCTCTGTGTCGTTTCAAGAGGAGTGGAGTCTTCCTTGGGATGCGTGATTTCAGACTGTTTTTGTGTAGTTCATTACTTATTGTACGCTTGGTTACTTTAATCCCTAATGCATGCAGATGTTCCTGCAGCTCTTATCGGGTAACCTGTGGATTTTGTTGGATCTGGCATCCTAATATCCTTGCTGATCTTAGAGAAATCTTCCTCGGAGCACCTGTTCTTCTTTGGTTTTCAACACTGTTACAAGTTTTAAACCTTGCAATGAATGAAGCAATTGTAGTAAAAGGAATATTCAGGTTGTTAGAAATTGTTCTGTAACTGTTCCCATCTTTCCAAAGAGACAAAATGTGTTGTTTTTGTGAAATAGTCAATTCTTTACCTTTAGGCATTATTAGAACTTTCTAGTAAGACTAGATATTGCAGAATGCTCTGATAATGGCTAATAGCGTTAACTATAATTACTGATAACATTACTGGAACATTCTAGAATATACTTTTTTCATAATTGATTATTTTATTCTAATAATGGATTTGTATGAATACTTTTTTCACCAGTTAGAATTAAAAAAATGCATTCATTTCTGTTAGAATAAAATTAAGTTTATTATTTTTTTTAGTATGTGTCTTTATACATAAAATGTGTTGAGATTTGTTTTATTTAAAGGCTTTTACATTTATAAAATACAATTTTTCAAGTGTACGAATATTTATTTCCCCCCACTGTATATATATATATATATATATATATATATATATATATTATTTATATATTACATATGCGCGGTACTTATTGGAAAGCACTCAATATCAGTGATAGAGATAACTTAATACTTACTATTTATAGAATTTATATAATAATTGCACATAAATAAAGGGAAACTATTCTGTAATTAACAAAACTTCAAATATATCTAAAATTTAGTTTACTGTAATTTCTCGAAAATAATAGGCTTTTTATTTTTACTGTAAATTACAGGTGATATTAGGGGTGCATATTATAAATAGATTTAAACAAAAATATTTTTTTCGATATTGATTTATAATAAATACATACTTGTTCTAAAATAAGACATCACAATTTTCATTTTAAATCCAGCAATAATAATTGTAACATTTTTTTGTCAATAAATTTGTTTATCAGTAACTGCATTTTTTATTTGGTGAAAGAATAAAAAATCTATAAAAAGGCCAATTTTGAAGAAAAGAGGTTATCAAGTTAACAATTTATTGAAATTTAATTTTCATCATCATCATAACCACTTTCTATTATAGAATCAATATCTAAATTGTCATTAAACAAATTATCATTCACAATATTATCTTCATCCTGTTCAAAATTATCTTTGGCCTCTTTATACTCTTGCCAAAGGATGTCATCTTCAGAGCCACCCATGGCTGTCATGAGACAACACTTCTTGAAACATCTCTTTATAGCATCCTCACTGACGGAATCCCAAGATTCCTGGATCCATTTTACAATAAGTTTCAACTCTGGGTTTTCCTGTTGTCACAAGCAGTAAAACTGGGAACACCAGAAAGCATCCAGTCATTCCATTTTTTATGCATCTCTTGTTTAAATGGATGGTTGCAGACAACATCCATTGCTTGAAGTTGGCCAGTCATTCCTCCTGGTATAATTCTTATGTCCAGTTGTTTTTATTGGAACAGACTTCACCCCTTTGAATTCCAGAGTTTGAAAACAAGGCACATCAAAAGTCAGGGGTGTTTGGTCAGCATTTCTAATACAGCCTAAAGGATAGTTGTGCTTTTTTCTTAGCTGAATAACAAAATGCTGAAAATTCAAAAGCTTATCTTTGTAGTCATCAGGCAAATGCTGGGCTATGGATGTTCTTCTAATAGATATATAAAACCTCTTCATAAAAAGAAAACACCAGTTTGCTGAAGCTTTAAATGTGTTTCCAGGATACATGGTTTTCATAAGTTCTTTTGCCTTCATCCTTATTTCCACAGTACTTATGGAACATCCACTTGATCGTCTTTTTTTCAGAAATTCAACTTTGTTCCATATCTGGATATTGAGCTTTTCTTCCTCCACCTACAGCTTTGGCACTTGATTAACACTTTTTTTAGTTCATTTTTATTCTTTCTACATAAAAGTATGTTAGCCTCATTCAACTCATATTCTCTAGCTGCAGCTCTGTTTCCTATTCTTTCTGTTAATTCTGTTACTTTTTTTTTTAAAATTTGCACTATAACTCACATATTTTGACAGTAAAATAAAATGTTATAATTATCAGGAAAACTGCATGGTAATTTTCAACATTATTTTAGCCACTTAATTTTGATTTTATTCTTAATGTCAAAGTCAACAAAATGTCTTTGTAATTTTTTTTTTTTTCTACAAAATTTATAGATGTGTATTATACATAGGGATAGATATATTTCTTAATTTTTGGATCATTTGTTGGGGGGTAGGTATTATTTAAGGGTGCCTATTATTTTCGAGAAATTATGGTAATTTACTTTAATCCTACTAATCCTTAATCAACAGGATTCTAGTGTTAAATGATTTTAAAACATGCATATTAACAATTTAGGAAAAAACTTTTCATTTTTGTAATAAAATGTGGAAATATTCATGATGGAAAAAAAAGAAATGAAAAGATAAGTTTTTAATAAAATAATGACATGCAAAATGTACATTTTCTTACAAAATAAACATTTTTTAAAAAATATTGATATAAAACATCTATTAATTTTTTTTTAATAATAGAAATATAAATTTCATGATTATCAATACTTTATACAGCAGTTACTAATTTTCTCTTTTTTTTTCAATATTCATCTTTTTCTTTTCTGCTTTTGTCATAAACATACAAAATTGAATCCTTATTATTGGTGTGAACATGAAGGAAAATCAAACACTATTATTATTGAGTTGCAAATTGAACTGGAAATTGCTTTAATTGCATTTTAACAGCATTGCCCAAACAAAAATTATGTTATGATGTACCATTTTTTCTGTGTTACAGTAACAAACAAGAAAACTCACAAATATAGATGAGGATATTTTGAAGAATTTAATACGCTGTTATGGAATAAGCAAAACACATCATGATGAATGTGTTTATTATTTGGAGAAAACTTATTAAAATTCCAAGATTTCTTCAGGCAAATGAATACATTGTTCTGCTGATGATAAGGTTTTGGTTGATTCATTCTACTACCTTCTTCTGGTGTAATGATCCATAAGGAAAAAAAGATGAGTTGTCTCTTTTTAAAAAGAAAACGGGAAACAGTAAGTAGTAGCTAATATACCAACTGACTGTCTTTTTAAGTTTTTTAATAAATGATGATAAACATAATAAATATTGATGCTTGCTATCTGGTTGATGCATTGCACACATAAGGCCATTGATGAGGTTTCTGTAATCGAACAGTTCCTGGGTGATGGCGGTGGTGGAGGTGATTGGCCCTATGACCAACCTCTGTACCAAGGAAGGACTACTTTTTGGGTTTTTTTTTTCTCGTTCCCCGAGATGACCACATGTTACTACAATAAGGAGTTTCATCTATAGAGGTTTGGAAATTCAGAGTTTTCCTTCTCCTAGACTGACTACTGACCAAGGTTGAAAGCAATTATATATATATATATATATATGGTGGACTTTCCTATTGTATTCAGAATATGAGGGTCAAGCAGCTCAGTTTCTAGGAACCAACAGCCAGACACTAGCACATATGATTTGATTATGTGGTGAAATCTTTGTGCAGAATGAACCACACTTTTTGAAGGACAGAATACAGAGACCTGGTGCACTACATGCCACAAGTTCCCTGTCACAGGTTTTGAATTGAGAGTTGTTCTTTTCCTAGATCAGTTGCCATCAAAGGCTATAGAACCCAGTCTGTATTGCTATTTACCCATGGCTGGAGGGAGAAGAAGAGGATTAATACCTTTCCCATGGGTATTAGCATGTAACGCGAATGTAATGGATTCAACTGGAATTCTAACAGTCTCAATTCCTCAATCCAAGCCACTATCCACTACTTCTCCATATTTATTGATATTTAAAAGCTAAAATAATCCTATCATATATATATATATATATATATATATATATATTATATATAATGAAATCTGATACATTTGGACAAAATGAAATTTTTATGTAATTACTGGAAATTTTATAAATTACTACAATGGACACTCTTCTTAAACAATCATTTTTTTTCGTAAGTATCAAATAACAAAGCTTTATACACTTACTTGGTTAAAGGTTGCTATCAACGACAATTATTATTGATGACAAGTCATTTCATATTATAGAATTTATAATTATGATGATTTGCAAATAAATAAATAAATAAATAAGGAAAACTCTCTAAACAACATTTATGAAGTAAATACTGGAGTTGTCTCCCTTGAGACATCGGATCATCTAGGGTGCGCGCAAATATTGACACAATTGTTGAACTGGAAATTGTTTCATTCACCATGTTAGAGCATTTTAATAGCATCAAGTTCAAAAAATGGGATCACGTTCGTCATTTTTGGTGCTTTATAAAAAACATACATAAATTGGTACAATGCATGCAGAAAATTATTTGCAAATAAATAAGTTGTAGTTAACTCCCTTGATATATTCGATCATTAGTCACTCGGCGTCTGGTTCGGTCCTGACTTCCAGTTGGGAATGAATTGGTTGGGGGTACAAGGGAAGGCCAAGATCGCAATTGATTTGTGGTCTCGGAGGAATCTTTCCTTGAAGGGGAGGGCGGAGGTATGTGTTTCACATATCTACCCGATTCTCCTTTACCGACTCACGGTATTTCCACTTACCACACTAATTTTATTAGTAAGCTCTTGTTCTCTTTCTTGTGGAGAGGCAAAGCCACTAGGGTATGCCTAGCATTGGAATTTGTCTCAAATTAATGCTTCGCATCGGGTTCCTAGATCGTTTGAATCGCAAACCGGATGAGGAGGGTGCCTTCTGGAAGGAAGACGCCCATAAAAATTCCCATCTTTGGATAAGTGTGCATTAAACGTGCGAGGAAGGCCCACCGTTTTACCCCGGCCGAATTGCTCTATTTTACTTCCAATGTTGTCTTGCTCTGAAACACCTCTTACGGGCGTCGGATGGCCTCTCCAATGTCCAGGCATTGTCTCGTAGGGCATTATATCAAGTGTTAGTTAGGGAGTCCGTTCATGATGATCTGATTGATGAGCTCAGTCTTATGAAGCAGGAGGCTCGCTCGATCTGGCCTTGGGATCCCGGGTTGAAATGTCTCAATAACGATGAGGCATCCCTCACCTGGCTGGTGATGTGTGGGGCCCTCTGGGTCGCCAAAAAGCTTTGCGCAGTGGGCTTGGAGAAATCTCCAACCTGCCGACGCTGTGATGGGGAAGTCAAGACTCTTGGTCACGTCTTTTTTCAAAGTTGGTAGCACTGTTGTGTAAGTTTGTTGAAGGCCTCATGGTTCGCATGCTGCAGGGAAAGTTCTTTGTCCTTGCAGCCTCTTCTGTTTGTAGCAATGTGGCAGCACTATTGATGAAGGCTGAACTTTAGGTGTTCCACTGCTTGCTAGGAGTTATGAGAATCGTGATTTGGTTGACACGTCAGAAGGGATTCTATGAAGGTGAGAAGTTCACCTCTTCCCAACTGATCTTGTACTTTAGGCATCAGGTTAAAGTCAAGATTAGGATGGAAAGGTGGCAACTCTCTTCATCAGAATTCAACAAAAGGTGGGTAAATCTTGTGTGAGTGTGTAGAGTGAAAGGGGCTGACCTGGAGTGGCACTTTGATGTTGGTTAGGTACAGGATTTTGTCTTGCCTAGGTCGAACAGAGGCAACCTGTCCCGATATTAGGCTAGTTTAGGTTTTAGTTTGAATCTTTAGTTTCCCGTTTTCCGGTTAACTTAGCTAGGGTATGTATGCTCATTGGCCCCTTTTTATTTCTGTCTCTATTTTTCTTTAGTTTAATTCCCCATCCCCTACCCTCTTTTAGGGGGTCAGTGATGTCAGTTCTCTGGTAGTTGCGGGATGCCTTTCGTTTTGCGTGTGTTCGTATTTGTTGTTGTGTCTAAATGAGTGCATGTTTGTGTGAGTGCAGTTTGGATTGATGATTGTGTTTATACTATTATAATCACGCAATTTTTTTGTCCAGTTAACTGATGTTTCTACCACATTTAGGGATAATGGTTTTTTTTATTATTAACCCTATTTTGTTTTGTTTTCATGTAAATAGTATTTAATTCATATTGTAAATAATCATTGGGGTTTTTTAAATTGTTGTTTTTATTCCCCTCCCCTCACAGACTTTGAAATGTACATATGGGGACTAGTTAGGATTTCATAGAGACATTGAGGTATTATGGTGGATGTAGTAAGAAAGGTAGGAGAGAATGTGTTGTTTTGGTGATAGGACTATTGTTGGTATGTTTGGGTCAGTGTTTGTGACTAGCTAAGTTTAGAATTAAGACAGAAGAAGACCGTCCTTCCCCAATCCCCCTTTTGGCCTTGTGCCACATTTTGTACATAAGTACAAATAAATATCTATTTGATCATTAGTAATATAGGAGGCACGGTGGAGTAGTATGTGCCTTCTACAATGAAAGCCAGCTCTCTTTGTTTATAAATGAACTCTTCCAAAGTATGGGATTTCTCAGTTTCTATAAAAGGGAAGAAAACAGGGACTCACAAATCTATACTGACTGGTAAAGAAAGGGATAAAAAGAGGCATATAAAATAAAAAGATAACTGATAAAAAAATGGAATAACTGTTGATATTTACCGGGGGGGGGGAGCTTAAAGGTTTTTAATTTGACCCAATTTCTAAAATCTGACCCAATAACCAAACATGAGTTTTATTTTATTTATTTTATTTTTTTTTGAAGGGTTTCTTAGTTGGGCTGAGAATGTTTCAGAAACGTTTTATACTGGATTGTTTAAAATTAGAAATAAAAAATTGTTTTTTTTTTATTGTTGGAGAATTGACCAGTTGAAACTGCATGCTTAAAACAAAATAGAAATAAAGAAAGATAAAATAAAGTTACCAGTATCTTGTCATGACTCATAGACTGATGACAATATGTAAAAAAATTACTTACAATGACTTGTTAAAAATCCTTCTTTCAATGGTGGCTTTTTTTGTACTTCTTCTTTTAATTTTTTCAGTTTCATTGTCAGCAGTCCAATATTTTCTTCATGAAGAATCAAACCTAAAATATAGGGAAGCATAAACTGAAGATTTCACTTCAGACAACAGATATCATCAGGTATATATGTGTGTATATTTATGTATATAAAGAGAGAGAGAGAGAGAAAAATATACACATCAGCAATTAATGATGGATAGTTTAAAAATGGACATTATTTCTTATTACTGTAACAAAAAAATCATAGAGAAAATCCAATTTACCAATGAGAGATGTGACCTAAATAGGTAAATTGGACTTTGTTCTAGCCAGATGATCTCCTGTGGCCAAATTGGTAGCAGGATGTTTTGGCTCTAGGAATAGTTTCCCTGATGAAAAAAGGGATACATGTTGTATTCTTGTTGGGAGGAACAATTTTTCTTTAGTAAAACTTCTCCATCTAGGCTGGTTGTTATTAATTTCACTGTTTAAGAAAATAATAAACAGGGATAGTAACTCAAATAAGTGTACCCACTAAAAATAGTGTTTATAGTAATAAAAAATAATGTTGGCTTAAAAAATACATTTAAAAAATGCAACTAAGATGCAAGACGTCACTGGAAGTGAAAAAAAAGGAAAAGGCTTTTGAAGGAAATGGAAACCAATCCTAAACAAGAAACAAGGGATAAACCTCTACTCCTGTTCAAAAGGCTGGTTTGGTTTGTTTTATGTCATATCAACCATAATGGATTATTTAATGCCAACAAGATTTTTATTGCTGGTAATATTTTTTTTCAAAAAATATTTCTGGTAATATTTTTTCTCAAAATATATTGCTGGTAATATTTCTTTTTCAAAAATGTATTGCTGGTAATATTTTTTCCAAAAAGGTATTGCTGGTAATAAATTTGTACAAAAATATATTACTGGTATTAAAACTTATTTTTACATGTTTTGACCCCAGTTTGGGGGTTAACTATTTGCCCATAGCTGGGACCCTAACATGTGCTACCAGCCTGAATCAGGGTGAACCTGGGAACACCAGCAATTAAGAGGTGGTTCCACACTCCTCAAAATCTCCTGATCAGAGGCTTTGCTCTCAGATGTCGTTTATTGTCTTACCCAGGACATAAATGTAGTTTATTGTTATACCCAGGACAGTCAAAAGGCTGGGGAGGAGAGTGAACTTACTACTGAGAAAAGAAAAAGTAATTCAGTAGTAAGTAAAAGTTCAGAGTTTTAGGTAGAGATATTAGAAGCTGAGTTGTAGTAGACTTTAGAAGGAACTGGAAACCTAATCCTAAACAGGAAACAAAACTTTAGCAAGTTTCAGCCCTCATTCTGTATATAAGCAGTGTAGACAGAGAATTCAACACTGAATAGCAAGATGTGTGAATGTAATCTTCAGGCCTGTGTGAGAAAGAGTGTAGTCATTCAGTGTTCAGTGCTCTAAAATATGAATTAAGTTTAAGCGACTAATAATTTTTTTCTTTTTCTTTCAGATTTGGCAGACATTTGGGTGATATTATTTTTCAGACATAATTGACTTGAATATGACTTAAATAACAAAAGAAATTTTCACCAACAACACTGATTTATTTACTGCTGACTTTGATCCGTCTTAATGAAACACCCTTTATATTTATACGCACACACACACACACACACACAGTGCGGCAGAAATACCTCCCACATAATGGTAAAACATTAGTGGCAATGGTGGCTTCGTCTAGATCATGCTCTATCATTATGTGAGACGTATTTGTGAGAGTTATTTCTGTTGCACCATATATATATATATATATATATAATATTCCAAGAGGATAAAATCCAGGTAGAGCTCAATGGACAAAACAGAGCAACAATATAATATAAAAGGCTCAAACACTAATATTCAATGATTATAATTTATTACATTGGAATCGCAATCACGATCTAATTCAACAGACCCACATATTCAAAAAGAAAACGGAAATTATAACTCTGGGTATAAATTTTGTTTTTATACCCTGAGTTAAATTTTCCGTTTTCTTTTTGAATTTGTAGGTCTGATGAATTGGATCGTGATTACAATTCCAATGTAATAAATTATAATCATGGAATATTAGTATTTGAGCATTTTTATATTATATATATATATTTTAAGAGAAAAAACTATGACAGAGTGATAAAAGTTTTCATGTGATGTATTTTATCCTTTAGGATTTCATTAATAAAGTGATGTTAAGCGGATGTAGATACACATGTGCATGCAAGAAATGCTGCACAGGGAATTTTAAATTTAATTTTTTTTAAATATATATTTTGGGTATATAGTTTAGCCAATTTCATTTAGGTTCTTTTTGTTCATGTTTCCATCACTTTTTTTTCTTAAAATAGTTCTTGATATATAAAGATTTATATATCATTTTCCTATATATATATATATATATATATATATATATATGTGTGTGTGTATTTTACTTGAAACATTATTATAGTGGACACTTTGTATTTGAAATAGATTGCCATTTTTTATTTATTAAACAGTATTGCATCTATTGGCTTGTGCCTTTGAAAAATCTTAATCTAAGATTAATTATCAATCGTTATCTTCTGTCTTAAACCTTGTCCTTTTATTGTCCTCTTTCCTTAATAATAGTTTTTCTCATATTCTATAACTTAACTTGCATCCTAGTCACTTTATTGCATTGCTTGGGGTGAGAAAAAAAATTATGTGCAGTAGTTAGTAAAAAGTGCTCAATATCTGTGATATAGCTAACACTTCATATATATATATATATATATATATATATATATATATATATATATATATATATATCTCCAAATGAGAGAAAGAACAAATGGAGTAAAAATCCACAGTTCGTAGCATTTGCTTTTAAAGAAAGTGCTCAATACAAAGTAGAGCGAAGTAGAGTTAATATTATTATTATATTTTTATTATAAGAGATTTTCATAAAAACATTTTTAAATTGCTACACAAAAGCTTTCACATTTCAATACTTTAATTGTACTTGTTCAGGCGATGGTAAGTAACTGGTGATTAAATGATTTTTAAGGAAATTTAAAAACAAATTGTTACCTCTTTTCCAAAAGTTAAAGAGGTGGTGGAACATAAGGTCAGAATTAAAATTAGGCTTGTGGGTAGGTCTTGATTAACCAATTAAATGTAAGCTAAATAAAAAATAAGAGGTAACAATTTGTTTTTAAATTTCCTTAAAAATTATTTAATTACCAGTTACTTAACATTACCTGAAGAAGTACAATCACAGTATTGACACATAAAATATATATACACACACACACACACACACACACACATATACACACACACATATATATACACACACACACACACAAATACATACATATATAAAAAAATACATACATATGTGTGTGTATGTGTGTGTGTGTATAGTGAGTAAATAAATGACAAGACAGAAAACAACATATAATTATATACAAAAGCATGAATTGAGCTCAAAAGATTGTAACTTTGATAATTTATGAAAAAATAAAATAAAATAAATACTCTGCCTACCTTTTTCAGCTGCTAATGCAAATAATTCTTTGGCAATGCTGAACTTTGGAACAACTGGATAATCTACCATGACATGCTTTCCAGCATTTAAAGACTTCCTGTGAAGGGTAAAAAAAAAAAAATGGAGAGAATATGACTAATTAAAAATTGCAGGTTCCATATAAACTTTATTCAAATTAATAACTGAATATGAATTAATCTTTTAAAGATGTATATGTATACTGTATCCGGGATGCGTATATTTCATTGAAATGTACACAACCCTTAGACAGTTAGCATAAACTCTCATCGACAATCAAGACTCTGAGACATGGTATGTTTTAGACGCAGGTTTATTGACAGTCAACAAAGGTAAAACTGAAAGGAATAAAAAACACGTTTCTTCAGAAACACATAAAAACAAAATGAAGGTGAGGAATTACTAGGACCTTAAAGATAGTTGTAGGTATGATAAGCTAACAGAATAGAAAGCATTTGGGCATAAAAAAATACTCAAAGAAAGAAAAAGAATACAAATTAGGCTGAGTAACAGTCGAATTCCGAGAGGATAGATGGAGGTTCCACACGTGATAGGCGATAGTTCTTACTGATAGATGTCCAAGAATGACGAGATATTTAAAGGATGGAAACTATGCCATACAGCTGTGCTGGGGGCCACTAAACTAGCTAGGGGCTGAGCACCGGAAAACTTCAACTGGTGTAGGGTCAGAAAGAAGCCCCCAAGTTAAAGGGGCCAGTAGAGGGAGATGAGTGCTAGTCAGTCTATTGTACACTAAACAGAACAATATGTATCAAATTTGTTAAATTTATGGGGAAAGAGTGCTCAGTAACAAAGATAGAGCATTTGTAGACTAATTTATCTGATCCTCTGTAAGTGATAAGTGGTGTATCTGACATATATCAACAGAAAGAGGGCTTGGCTATGGGTTCACCATTGTTACCAGTAGTGGCAATCATATTCATAAATACTTTGAGGAAATAGCTTTAGAAATGGCACCACTAATGCCAACAGTATGGCTGAGATATGTAGGATTACACTGTCATACTCTGGCCACATCAGGAAGCTGTACAAATACTGCTTCAATAAGACCTTCAATCTAGTTCACAATCGAAGCAGATAATAATCAGTTAGCCTTCCTGGAAGTACTAATAATTTGCACAGAGAATAGGTTAAAAACATCCTTATATTACAAGTCAACATTCACTTGACAATACTTCAATCCCCACTATCCATACAGTGTGAAAAAAGGGATTGTTCAATGCTTACAACACAGGACATAAATCATAATTGGCAATCTAGACACATACTAATAAGAAATGATCAGAAATGTACCCTTCAGAATAACAACTATACAGTAAATATAACATCAGCGTCTACAGCTGAGAACAGAAGGTACAAAGAGGATGACCAGAAATTGCCACAGTCTGTCTACCATACATCAAGGTCTAATCCGAAACTATTCAGATCTGCAGTCCATACAATATCAAGAAAATATTCAGAAGCAGTTCCATTCTATGGAGAAATTTCAGCTGAGTAAAACCTAACATGGGGAGAACATGACCAAGTATTATTGTGTGTATTTGATTCCTTGCAGTTGTGGCAGAGCATATAAAGGTGAAACAAACTGCTCCCTAAAAGTAAAGCTGGATGAACATCAAAAAGCCATAATGAAGGAAGGGAAACAATGAAATCAGAGATGGCTGATCATGTATGGAAGGAAAGGGGTAGCCATAGCCTGTGGAATGAAGTGAAAATACTGGACAAGGAAGAACACTGGAGAGTTAGACATCTGACAGAATTAGCACATATGCTTGGCTAGGCCTAGAATAGAAATAAATACAATAAGGAGCTGTTAATGAAGAAAGACAAATGACAGCAAGTCTTCAACGGCAGCAGCAGTGGTCAAAACATGACAAGCAGCAGCAGCAGTTGAAACTCTAATCAACAGGTAGGTTAGGTTTATGGCTCCAAGTTCACTACAGCAACTTGGCCTAGTGGTTTAAAGTGTTGGTTTGTGAGTTTGGAGATATAGAGTTTGGACAGTGTATATTTGCACTCAGTGGAATCAGGCAAGCAATAACTGAGCAGTACTAAATAAAAATCAGAAATAGATGATATCTCTAGATATGAGCAGTGGAATGAGATCAGTCTACCCCCATAGATTAAATAAAGGTTTCATGTCAGAATTCCCTGTAGGTTGCTGAAATCAATATACACCTAAAAGTTCTTCAGTACTCTTTTCTTTGTTTCTAACTATGTTTTTCTATTTCTTAATAGTTTGCTCAGCTTTTTGAAGGCATCTTTCACTGTCACAATGTGCTTTCAGATTTCAATGTCACACTTTCCATCCTCTGTTAATACACTTCCCAGATATCTAAATTGTTGCACCTGTTTGATTTCACTATCTCCAATTTGTAATTACATGGTGGAGTAATCAGTAGCAGCTCAGATTGAGGAATTGGAGAGCAGAGTTCAAATTTAAGTTGAATCCATTACGTTCACTTATGTGACAAAAAAATCTTGGGAAATGTATGAATCCTCTTCTCCCACCAGCTATGGGTAAATAGAAGAACAGACTGGGTTCTATAGCCTTGGCTGGCCACTGGTCTACCACAGAAAGAAATGACAACCTGCTACGGGAAAAAAATCTGCCTCGTCAGTCATGTATCGAAAGATACATGATCGCCTAAGCGTGTATCACGCATGGTACATAACTGACTTAGTGATGTTGGACTGTTCCATTTATTTGCACATTACTGGTGATATTTTAAATTAAATATATGAGCAATCTTATATTATAGGACTTACAAACATGTTTCTTTGAAAATTTGAATTGAATTCTGTGAATTAAAGTGAAAAAAAAAAAAAAGGTTTAAATCTAAGATTTGTAAAACGTCATAATTAAATTATCATTGCGGTAGTAGTAGTAGTTGTAGCGTGTGTAAAAAAATGTAGTAACCATGAGTTACATCCCTTGATACAAGACATTTATGAATGAGAGCTCAACATGAGACGCGGACACTGTATTTGAACATGTGAACATGGACATGCGAATCTCCTTTCATGTCGAAACTCGCCACATGGAAATAATAACTTATATTTTAGTGATGCATTCTGTCTGTTGAGAAATAGTTTTTATAGGGAATTCCTTGATATTGCTTCAGCTTATTCAAGAAGAAGATAAACAAAAAAGTTTTCTTTATTATTTTTGACAAAAATACTTCGAAAATAGTAAATCCTAACCAGTGAGTAAATTAATACAGAATTTTAAAAGATTTAAAACTTTAATTATTCTAATTAAGATTTTTAAAAAAATGGAAACAATTCTTGTAAAAATTCATTAAATTTCTTCAGACAGTGGCGTCCATAATATACCAGATTTATAAAAAAGTAATTAAAAGCTTTTCTAATTAAATAAAGTTTTAGTTTTATTGCATTTTTTATTTTACATTTCAGAGCAGATTTTTCGTAATTGGGGAGTCCTATTGTGATACTCGAGTTTTTGTTAAGTGTTAGAATTTGATTCAATAGCTAGATTGTTATGGGACTGCTCAGAATTATTGAAAGAATGAAATCCAGTAGGAAAAGAAGACAATGTAGTATTAACAAATAACATTAATTTAATGTAACAACATGAATACAATAAGTTGTTTGAATGTATGGAATGAATGAGTAATGTCTTTTTTTCTGGTTGTTAATAGTGTTCACTTGGACAGAATATAAACTGTATTGCGTATATATGTGAGAACAGTAAAATGTGGTTGCATATGTGTTTGTGTAAAAGAGTCAATATGTGTACGTATGCATAGTAGTAACGTGGACAAAAGAAATAGAATTTAGTTCTTACTGTGGATAGTGGCAATGTAGTCTGAGGCAGTCTCTTTGTAGTTTGGTCAGTGCTGTTGTTTTTGAGTGTGGATGTGAATGGGATCTTGAATATCAGCAACTGACGTGGACCTTGGTGGCATTTGTGTGTCTACTTTGTGATTTTTATACCCTTTTTCCTAAGAAATTGGCTCCAGAATTATATTATTTCATTTATTCCTAATTGGCCCTAAAGTGTTATGTCTACTACTATTATGTCTGCACTATAGTATGTACCTAAATTTTGATGACTGATAACAACTTTTCTGATTTGTTTTATGGTTTAATTGGTGTGTTTTAAAATGTAAGCACTTTGTTGTATGCTATTGGTTTATAAATATTTTGTAGGTGTGTTTTAATGTTTATGTAGCTATTGTTGGCTGGAAATGCTTCTCATGTTTTATAATAATAAGTTTATAACTAACATAATAATTAGTTTTATTGTGTGAAATATGTTGCATATTTTATTTGTTATTTTAATGGGTACAACACTATTTAAAAAAAATATGATTTAAATTCTCCAAGGACTTGTGCTTATAACTAATGTAAACATTAAGCTGTACAAAAATGAATTTCTTGAAATTTCATAAAATTAAATGAGTGGAGTGAAAGTGGGGAACAGATGTATAAAAGAAAAAAAATTACCAGGTAGCCTTAGAGTGCAGCCTATACTAGCATAAAGGATAATCCAGTCCTGTATAGAATGGTATGCACCTTGCTTATGAACCTGGCCAATTTATGGTCACTTTTTCTTATGGAATATAGTGGATGAACAATGGAGGATTGGCCAAATTGTTGTGTGAACAGAAAGTACATGAAAACCTTCAAAATCTGAACAGTAATAGGAAAATGATTCTTCTAAATCACAGACAAACGTGCTCAACTGAATAACTCTTGGAAATTATATAGAAAAGATGGCAATCATTAACCACTTTGGGAAAAGTACTGAAAGGACAGTTTTTCCCTAGACATTGCTATTATTTTAACTATCATCACTTCTTGGCAATGTTTATTGTTTTAAAAAGTTATTATTAGAATTGTAATACAGTGTAACCCAGATATAAGAGAGTTGTCAGGACCGGAGAAGAAGTCTCTTATATCCGGGTTTCGTCTATTTTATATACATTAACACAGGCTCTAATTTGGGACCAGAGAAAATCTCTCTTATATCCGGGTTACACTGTAAAACCTAAACATATGATGAAAGTGAATTTATACGTTTTTGTTCTTGAGAATTTACAACAATTATTAAACACTATTTATTTATTAGATATTTTATTTACAAGAATAATTTTATATTAACAACATTTAAAAAAAAAAAAAACAATTGTATTAAAACTAATGCAATGCAATATTTATAATGCAATGCAATATTTATATCAACTTATAAAGGAATAAATATTAATTTTTTTTTTACTAAATTATTAAAATACATGAACCATCTATAAGGAAATCCTTATTATTTACCATTTTATAAAAGCTTGAATTGATTAGCAATTAGCCGATGTTTTGCCAACCATTCCAATAAATAATCTAATAAACAAATAGTGTTTATTATTTTTGTTGTAAATTCTCAAGAACAAAGAAAATGTATAAATTCATTTTTATATGTTTAGGTTTTATTAAAATTCTAATCATCACTTTTGAAAACAATAAACATTGCAAAGGAGTGAATAGTTAAAATAATAGTGGTGTCACGGGAAAAATTGTTCTTTTGAGAGGTTTTTGCGAGCATGAAGGATAAAGATTGCTAAAAAGATTTTTTCTTTACTGCTAAATATTCCTTTTCTTTCAAATAAAAAAGGAGAATTTGTTCATTATTTTATTGATCACTAATTAAACCCTCAAGATTATGATCACCAGGCTAATAATCTCATATAATTGCTTACCTGATTGCTTCTTCATGATTTGATGGTTCAGTTCTTCATTTATTTGATGGTTCAAATCAATATGCTTTTAAAAAAATAAACTGTATGGACATTTTCTGATTTTTTTTTTCATAACTATAAATGATGTTTGTCACTCAGCCTTCATCTAAGGTCATTTATCAAACTGATAATAAAAGAAAAAACCATTTATATCTTATATATTACTGTTAACTTCATAATAAATTGTCAATTTGAAGGATAAAAAAAATCAACTTGATAAAAGCTGCTAAAGAATTAACATTGATTTTTGCATTTTATGATTTTTTCTGTATTTTTCATAAATAAATGATGTTTGTCAACTATTTAGATAGGCTAACCTCAGCCTTGGTTAGCAATATTAAAAAACAAAATACAGAATCAATTATTTCATTTTATTTGAAAAGATTCACATTATCAAATAAACTGATAATAAAAGTAATAAAACCATTTATATCTTATATATTACTGGCATAACTTCATAATAAATTGCCAATTTGAAGGATAATTATCTATCAATGAAATCAACTTGTATCTATAGAAGCTCAGCTGAAAGAATATGAACATTGAGTTATGATTGCATTCACAGCAATGGAAAGTACTATTATCATACTGTTATTAACTGTATTTTGTGATTGTCGATGAAGTATAAATAAATGGCTGTTTGTAACTATTTAGATATAGACAAAAAGAAGAAAAATCCCAAGAATTGTTGAATCAGTATTCACAAGATATCAAACATGTGATGAAAAAACATCAGGCATGTTAAAAAAAACATTGGTTTCCATGTTTAGGGACGTGTTACTTCAAGTGAAAAACAAAATAAAATTAGAATCAGTTTTTTCATTTATTTTGAATTTCTAAGGATACAGATAAAAACCCTATTCACAATCCCATTTCCAATAACATCATCGAGTTATATAATTAATAAAAACAGTTGTCTTATACTACAGGTATAGGATAAATTCATGAAAAATTTCTATATTTTTTTTTTGGCACATCTCGTCTTATCTAAAAGGTCACCTTATAGAACTGCATAAATATATGAAGTACCATTTAAATTGCAATTTATTATAAGGACTGATAAATAATTAACATATAGTCAAAAGATTTTCAGGAAACTTTGATATATTGTTTTATAAAACTAACATTGCCATCCTAATTAATACCCCCACTACCACCCTTCTTGGCAAAAAATCATAAGAAGAAGGATTGATTGGCAACTAATAAATGGGAAACAATGTTTGGGTGTATAGAATACCTTGTGTAATTATTAAAGAGAATATTTTTTACTTTGCCCTTAGTGTCATTCACTGAAAAAAAACACTACATGTATGCAACCAAGACATTTTTTTTGCACATGGAAGGAATATAAACTGTTCATGTCAGCTTTTGGAAGCAAGTGAAAAAGCATGTTAACAACACAGATTCGTGGATTGTTGGCAAATAATATTAAATCGCTTTCAAATTTGTCCAAACAATCCTTGGATGCTTTTGTAATAAAATGTGGCTGTGCATTCCAAGATACACACATTTCATCCTGCCTTTTATAGATAGTGATAAACAATATAATAATACAGAAGTATAAAGTGAAAGGTGAAGTTTCAAGAGTTCAAGTGTCAAAGTTCTGGCATAAAGAGTTTGGTAGGAAGTAAATATATATGTATATGTATCCAAATGTAGTAGACACTTGTTTAACAATGTGGGTGAAGGAATCTATGTTTTGCAATGTAGAAGAGTGGTTTAGCCATCTAAAGTCACCAGTGAATTGTGTAAAATATCATATTTTGGCTCTGGGTATATTACGATGACCACAGCATCAGAAAAGTAATGAAATTCATTCAATGATTCTGATTTAGGTTGGTTTTTTATCTTGTTATATACGCATTCAGAGATCTGCTTTGAAAAGTACAACTTTCCTTCTCATTTGTCTAATATCCTGGTTTTATAAGTGTGGTAAGACAACTCGATTACCTCCCCCATCTTATGATTTGTATATATAAGTCACACCATCTTAGCCAAAACAACAAGACTTTCCAGTTAGGCACATTAAGCTGAACTAGACTCCGAGTTTTCATTACAATTTATTGAATGTAATTATGGACAAATACCTCAAATCAGAATGTCTTGACTTGGGATCTGCAGACCCATTGTCTACTGACGCCTAGCCATATTGGAAATAATTATTTGAAGGAGTCTTGCTTGCACTGAAAAACAGTTCATCCACTTCTATTATTGATACAGATAGGCTTAACCTGCTAATGCTATACCAATATTTCTCACAGTAAAACTTAGCAGAGTGCCATGCACGTTTTTGTGAAGAGACGAAATAATTTTGCACGGCATGTATTAACAACTCCTGCTAATCCCCCGAGGAGGGGTTAGAACAGTATCTTCAGTGCTTAAAAATTGAAACTAAAACATTTAAGCAATGACAGCAGATCAGGCAAAGAACAAATTCATCAGAGGCCCCTTTATAAATGGATTAGAATCTAACTACATCTGTCAAAAATTGCTGGAAAATAAACAACTACATTTAGCTACTGCTTGTGAACAGACACTTACATTGGAGATAGCAGAAAAGCAATCTTGTTCATACCTACAAACAAGTGTTGCATAGGCTGCACTAAGAACTCACACTCTTACTAGTCCAACCACTTCAAACAACTCAAACAGAAAGGAAGGACAGTCCTCTATGACAGACTTCTTCATTTCTGCCCCACCCTCTGCCAGTTTGAAATCTTCTCTTTCCAGCCAGACGAAAATGTTATTTTTGTGGTTTCAAACTACACCCCAGGTCATGTTACCCAGTCAGGGAAACTAAATGCTACAAGTGCGGGAAGAAGGGATATTTTTCTAAAGTTTTGTCTACCTGGTTTAAATGCTCCTATTGCAACTAGTTTCATATCAACTGCAAACCCTAAATGTCTTTCAAAGTTTATATTAATGGTAAAAATAAACGGGATAGAAATGAATGCTCTAATTGACACAGGAAGCTCAGAGAGCTTTATTAGTGCTGATATTGCATAAAGGAACAGATTTAAAATTGTATATTGTAATAGTCAGGTGGCTATGGAGAATGCTTCACTATCTTTGCAGGTAAGAGGATATTTTTTGGCTGGCCTAGAGTTGAATCAAACTACACTAACACCAAATTTTCTGTGATGCCAAATCTGTGTTGTGATGTCATACTAAGCTATGATTCCCGCAAACAGCATTCTAGTATTAATCTCCCTTTTGAGGGCCCTAAACCAGCATTGGACATCTGTGGCTTGGCCACTATAAACGTACAATACCCATCTCTTTATGAAAACTTAATCAAAAACTGTAAACTGGTGGCCACCAAATCTTGAAAATATTCTCTTGAAATCAAAACATTTATTGAAGCAGAAATAACAAGAATGTTAAGAGAAGGAATAATTAAAGAAAGCATATCACCATGGAGGGCACAAGTATTAATAACGTCCTCTGATAATAATAAAAAGATGGTCACAGATTACTTCCAAACTATAAATAGGTACACCCTCATGGATGCATACCCTATATCCTGTTTTGATGAGATTATAAACAAGATCTCCAAATACAGTTAGTATGTTAGACCAAGTAGCTATAGACCCTAAAGATAAGCCTTATACGGCTTTTGAAGCCTGCAGATAATTTTATCAGTTCCAGCAGATTCTGTTTGGGGTCACTAACAGGGTTTCCAGTTTTCAGAGGGTCCTCAATAATATAATTCTTGAAGGAGAACTACAAAGCACTTTTGCCTACATATATGTGACAGTGTGCAAGATACAATGGCATAATATGGAAGATCATACAGTTAGCACTAAAAACCAAAACCTCCCAATTACACATTGACAAGACATAATAACCAAGACTTTGTATGCTATAAGAACACTATTGTGTACAAGAACTAATGTAACACCTCATGAAAGGTTTTCAAAATTTGAAAGGTGAAGTTCGGCTGGGATTTCCCTCTCTTTGTGGATCTTGCAGCCAGGTACTGCTTTATTTAGAAATCATGTTTGACAAAGCAAGTACGATTCTCCTGTGAGCAAGGTGCAATTGCACTATGCGTGCATTCAGCACCCTGATGGGAGACAATCAAATGTTTCCCTCAAATATTTGGCACTAGCCAGCAAGTTATCAAACCAGAGGGAGGAGCTGCTCTCACCTGAAGCAATATCTCTTCCTCCTGATAGTAATGACGACACAATACCATTGGATTCTCCCGAGAAACAAGGCCCCAATAGTGACAAAATAATTCAGAGATCAATACCAGAACAGCTCCCTCAAACAAAATGAGAGCATACTACCACAGACTGATAATCAGCTTTCAGAATCAGAGCGTCCCACTCCAAGGAGACAAAACCAATATGATACAAAATATTTCTGGCCGACTGTTCCCGTAACACGTGAAAGCCCAGATCAGCTTCCACCAAGACGATCCCAGAGAACTGTCAAGTGACCCAGTCACCTGGATGATTTTGCGTCAGACTAGAAGGAAAACAAATCCGGGGAGAATGTGGTAAGACAACGCGATTACCTCCCCTGTCTTATGATTTGTAAGTCACACCGTCTTAGCCAAAACAACAAAATATGTATTTTGGCCTAGCGAGATGGGTGTGTGTTACATACACACATTCATGAATTATTAATATGGTTTTAGTTTATAAAGAACGTTTTTAGTAAAGTTTTTTCTTTAGAAGACAAAGATTTTTTTGTACAACATGAAATAGAGAAACAAAAAGTGTAAACGATGATTTTTTCTGACTACTTTCTCACAGACAACTTGTTTGAAAACTTTCTAATAACTTTTTAGTTTAAATGCCTAAAAACCGAAAGTATGATAATTCATTTTTTTTTAAATGCTGTGTGAATTTTATCTTTCTCTATAAATTCTAAGTTTTTAAAGGTTTACGTTTAAGTATCGTATTTTTTGTCAATAATTTGCAAGAAATGGGTTTTTGTTTTTTCTGAAATTGATTTATTAATGTTTATGTCCATAAAATCTTAATTTACAGATTTTAAAACTTTCTTCAGAAACATTACAAAAAACTTATTTAATTACAAGTGAAGTGAATGTTGATGATACTCTCCTACAAAAAAAAAAAAAAATGCTGACCAATTGACCAAGCATTATTTATTAAAACTGAAAAAAAAATCCCTTCTTGTTTGTTCTTAGCACCCAATCAATAATACTCATTCATTAGTAATTAATTAAATTGTAATTAAAAATCGACCTGTAGTAGTGATTCTAAATGTACGATTTGAATATTTGGGGAGGCAACTTTGTCGTATTATGGTTTTTTTTTTTTTTTTCATAACTGATTAATTCTACAAAAGATCTTCGAATCTATTTGGATTTTTTTTTAGTTGTCAAAGTGTAAGAGTGAAAAAAAAAAAAAAAAAGGTTTAGGAACGAATATTTTTTTTGATCCATTTAAACATTTGGATTACATAATTACAAGAAATTTAGTTATCGCAAAAAATCCCGTGTTAAACAAGTGTTCGTTGATCGCAAAAAATTTTGGCCTAGCGAGATGGGTGTGTGTTTCACTGGACAGAACACATTTTTTTTTTTTTTTTTTAATTTTTAAGGTGAAAGACGAAGGTAATGCGATTTTGTTCCTTTGATTTTCATTTTTTTTTAGTAATTTTATTTTTGTTTCATTTTTTTTCCGCTTGTTTGTTTTGTTTTGACTTTTGATTGTAACAAAAATATCATATTTGGTAAAAAAATTAACTTATCTTTTTTTTTCTGTATTAATTCCACTTGAAAATAACCTTTGATCATATTTAAAAATAAATTCATGAAAATTTAAAAAAAAAATGATAATGACTAAGTAACTTTACTAAAACAACAAAATATTTAATATTTTCACAATTTATTTAAGTTACAGATACAAATTATTCCATAAAAAAGGTTAAAAAATACGCGACAGTCAACTTATATAACCTTAGAATAAGTTAACGTTAACGTTTTATATTTTTAGTTTTAAGTTGGATGTTTAATAACACTACACTAACAACTGTTGGACTCTAACAAAATGCTCGTATGATTTTGAATTAGTTAGTTGTTTAAAGATATTATTAGGTGGGATTAAACAAACAAAACCATTACCATTATTAAGAATTTAATTCACTAAACGCCACAATTCAGTTATGTGCCATACGCGATACACGCTTCGGCGATCATGTATCATCTTTCGATACATGACTGACGAGGCAGATTTTTTTTCCAGCAGTAGGTTGCCATTTCTTTCTGTGGTAGACCAGTTAATTGTCATCCAAGGCTATAGAACCCGGT